ATATGCACAAGCCCAATGGGTAGGATTGGAAAGCGTTTCTAAGTGTTCACCCCCCAGCTGATTGCAAGCTTTTGCGTATACCCTGAGGATGTAACATATCATACAAATACATCATACATATATATATATTTGTATACATATGAAAGAAGAACAGCCCAGAACTTGTCAACCAACTCAACCCAGGACTCTCCCGCCGACTGGGGATCCGGACCCGCTCCCAAGCAACCTGGGAGCAGCGGGGCGATGCTCCCAGAAAGGCACATGCATCCCATGTCAGATCAAGTGCAATGAACAAACATAAATATGTATACATATATATATACACATTTCGGTGATACATTCCCCCCAGCCCCGTGCTCAACCTCAAAGGCGCAAGCAAAGCTGATTGAATCAAATCCCAAAAACAAAGCTCGGCCAGCATATATATATATATATACATCAAAAGGAAAGTCAATTCCATCAAACTCAGTTTGCGTAACTCAAGTCTCAAAAGGAAGCTCCAGCAATGATAAATCAAGTGGTCCATCAAATCAAAATAGTCTGAAAAGGATGCTCCAGCAATACATGTCAAATCCAGCAAATCCAATCTGCAAACGAAGCTCCAACAATATATATAGATATCAAATGGAACCTCAAGTCCCTCAAATCCAACCTGGAATAGGAGCAAACCGTGGGTTCAAACCACTCAAGCTCCACCCACACCAGGTCAAATGGAACCCCGGCAGAGTATATATATATAAACCAATTTGAGCGGGTCACCTGTTTCAAGGGGGGTGGATTGTTCAGGGTGCGGTTCAACGAAGGTCACGCAGAAGCAGCCGAGGTGTTCGTCGCAGCCGCGAATTGGCGCTCAGCGTCAGCGGGTGAAATATGAGTTCACCCCGCCCAAGCAGAACGCCTTGATGGACATGTCGCCATTCTACATCACGTTCCGCGTGAGGAGTCACACCCGATAGTTCATCCAGAGCTGCAAGCTCAAGGCGATGGCCGCACCTATCAACCAAGCACATGCCACTCCCAGTAATTATATACCTCCCCGTTCACAAAAACATACATGAAGGGGGCAGCAGGCTATGATGAAGGCAGTGAGAGAGAAAGCTGCCTTCATAGTAACCCGGCGCTGCCAGCATTAGAAAAGGTGGTATCGCAACAAACCCATTAGAAAAGTTGGTGTCGCAACCAACCCAAAAGGACAGCAGGCTACCATGGAGGCAGTGAGAGAGAAAGCTGCCTTCATGGTAACCCGGCGCTGCCAGCATTAGAAAAGGTGGTATCGCAACAAACCCATTAGAAAAGTTGGTGTCGCAACCAACCCAAAAGGACAGCAGGCTACCATGGAGGCAGTGAGAGAGAAAGCTGCCTTCATGGTAACCCGGCGCTGCCAGCATTAGAAAAGGTGGTATCGCAACAAACCCATTAGAAAAGTTGGTGTCGCAACCAACCCAAAAGGACAGCAGGCTACCATGGAGGCAGTGAGAGAGAAAGCTGCCTTCATGGTAACCCGGCGCTGCCAGCGTTAGAAAAGGTGGTATCGCAAACAACCCAAAAGGACAGCAGGCTACCGTGGAGGCAGTGGGAGAGAAAGCTGCCTCCATGATAACCCGGCGCTGCCATCATTAGAAAAGTTGGTGTCCCAATGCGGGTGATCTAGAAAGGGGCGTTTCTAAGTGTTCACCACCCACCTGACTGCAAGCTCGAATTCATCCAAAACGCACATATTTTGTTCTACATATATATATATACAGACCCTGAGCATGAATCGGCGGGGGTCACACTATCGCTCGTCGAAATGATGCCCTTGTGTCTGGACCCAGGAGCTGTTTAAGATAGCGATGTGCGAATACGAAATGCAAAAGCTGAAGTCAGTGACAAGTTCTCACATTTGGACCAACATATATAATGTAACGGAAAACTAACACACAACTAAGGTTTGCAAGGGTCCGAGCCCACCTGACACAGCGCATTCTAACCCTATCGAACTCCATCACCCTGAAACACGGAGAGACAGCTGAGTGCCCCGACCGATCGTAGAGCGAAGCCCAGCACGTCCAGCTCGATTTGCAAATTTAGAAACGCCCCTCAAGTGGTGCATGTATACATATATATAAAGATATCCAGGTCGTCGTGATGGGAGGCATATGGCCTGTCAGGAGAAAATGCATATGTGTATATATATATATATATGTGCATGCATGCGTGAAGGTTGAACCAAGCCCAAAAAAATATCAAACAAGGCGTGAAACATATGAACGATCATAAACAGCTGGGGGTGAACACTTAGAAACGCCTCCCCCAACCCCACCCTTTTCAGAGTCTACCAACTGGACTTGTTTGTGTGACCAATCCTCCATACATGTCAGCACGTGTGTGAGCAAGGCATGATCTACTTACACAAACACACACATATCTATATATATATAGACCTTCGTCATGGGGGCATCGGTGTTTTCTTGGGGTTGCCGGAAGCTTGAAATCAGCTGGGGGTGAACACTTAGAAACGCCCCCCACCCTCCCCCCCCGCCCCAGATTCTACCAATGGGGCTTGTCTGTGTATGTGCATGACCAAAAAATCCTATATGTCAGTGCGTCTGCGAGCAAGGCATGATTTACTTACATACACACATACTTACATATATATATATTATACATGTATACATATATATGTATATAGATAGACCTTCCTCCTCGGGGCATCGGTGCTTTCTTGGGGTTGCCGGAAGCTTGAAATCAGCTGGGGGTGAACACTTAGAAACGCCCCCCACCCTCCCCCCCCGCCCCAGATTCTACCAATGGGGCTTGTCTGTGTATGTGCATGACCAAAAAATCCTATATGTCAGTGCGTTTGCGAGCAAGGCATGATTTACTTACATACACACATACTTACATATATATATATATTATACATATATACATATATATGTATATAGATAGACCTTCCTCCTCGGGGCATCGGTGCTTTCTTGGGGTTGCCGGAAGCTTGAAATCAGCTGGGGGTGAACACTTAGAAACGCCTCCCCCAACCCCCCCCCCAGAGTCGACCAATTGGACTTGTTTGTGTGTATACATGACCAATCCTCCATACATGTCAGCACGTGTGTGAGCAAGGTGGGGCCATCAAACAAGGCGTGAAACACATGAGCGATCGTGTATAGCTGTTGGGCTAGTGCTGCAAACCGTTTCTAAGTGTTGAAAAAAGTTTCTAAGTGTTGAAAATCATTTCTAAGTGTTGAATTGGGTTGTAGCAGTCCGGATCAACACTTAGAAACAAAAGTACCTGCTGGGGACAGCACTTAGAAACGAAAAAAGTACGTGGTGCCAAAAGAAAATTTCCAAAACCGTTTCTAAGTGTATGTCCGTCACTATATAGCTTCCCAAGTGTTGGAGGTGTGTGTATGTGTGTGTGTGTGTGCATGTGTATATGTGTGTATGCGTATGTATGTATGTATCTATGTGTGTGCGCGTCTATGTGTGTATGCATCTGGGATTTTCCAGCATCGCATTTCAAGTTGTTTCAAAAGGGAAGGAAAGTCAAAGCCCATTTTGTGCAGGTTTTGGAGACAAACCCACTTGTGCTTTTTCGGGTACCATGACCATTGCCCGATTCAATCTTTGACTCTGGCACACGTGAACAATTGACCATATTTTTAGGGGCACCCACTTGGGCATTTCCGTATCATCCCCTATCCTGTGTTGGCTTATTGTGGCCTGGCTGGCTTGTTTGACTATCACAGAGTTCGAACCCCGGCTTGCCTGAAACGTCTTTGCTGTATTGGGCCAAGCTGCTCGCTCATTTTCCCAATTGCTCAACATCACCTTGCCCCACCCCCTCGTAACACGGAAAGAACCAGGTGCCGTTTTTCGTCCCCGTGATGTCTGCGCAAGTTCCAAGTTGCTCCGTTGGCAAACGGCAACCTTTGGATATATGGGTGTGGCTAGTCCAGGCGGGAAAGGGGCGATTCAGAGATTTCAGCGGACCCTACCCGCTTTGAGATTCGTGTCAAGGCCTCTGGCTAGAGTTTGAGCAGGGAGCACACACAGGAGACTTCACTTCTTGTGCTGTTCGCTTAAAAATGCTCTAAGGGAGTTGGTTGTCTAATCACGATGCAGCCAAGATGGCTTCACACATGCCGGCATGGAAAGGGCCGAATCGGCGGCTTGCCACTTGCCGTCACCATGCGTGAATGGCACGTTGCTTGCCCGCGAATTGCTGTCGCGTGGCAAAGGTGTGCTGGCGGAAGTCCATCACACGGAACATATCCTGTCGCGCGCCGGGTCGCGCTGAGCTCTCGCTGTCTTGGAGCCCAAACGCACGCAGCCACGCAGCAGGGACTCCTGCTCGCTTCGATCAGACCAAATCCTTGCCTCACCCAAAGCACTTAAAGGGGCAGGGTGCTTAGTAAGTGGTTACTAAGCCTGGTTATAACCCACTTACCCGACTTACAACGATGGTAAGTGGGGTTTTACCCATGGTTATTGCCCGCTTACTAAGTACCCTGCCCCGTCAAGTACATCGCACGGCTGCCCACTTTTCGTTCCTTGAGCCAGCGCTCCGCTGTTGACTCCCCAAATCCAAGCAGCACGCGGCCACCCTTCCTCTTGCGCAGACCGTCGATCGCATTCTCAGAAGGTGTATGAGACATGTTCAGCTCCGAATTCTTCATGGGCTGTTTTTCTTGGTGGCTCCCAGCCATCCGGTTTCTTAGCCTTTTAGTCTTTTGGTGCTTAGTGGCAGTTTCCACTTTAACCCACTAAAAGTGAGTCATTTTTCGCCGGGGATCAGCTCGGGCAGCCCAGTTTTGGTTTTCTCTTGGATCTCCGGGGCGGTTGGCCTTTGTTCCCTGGGCCTTGGGTTTTTGTTTGCTTGTTCCCGTGGGCCTTGTGGCTTGGCCCACTGTTGTTCCCCCCCCTCTCAGCTCAAATTTGCAACTGCAAATAGCGGTGAATTACAGCAGAAAGCCCATGTGGTTTTGTGCTCCAAAGCTCTCTCGTCTCTTGCGCGCGAGGTAGACTGCGGCTTCCACGCCCTCACTTCTTTAGGCTGGAGACCGTTGAGCTGTTTGAATGGGGTCGATTCCCTTCTTCAAAACCAACCTCCAGATGGAAATCTCTCCCTTATTGTATTTGTGCCCCGCGGGTTTGTTTGTTTTGCGGATTCTCTTCACGCCCCAAACCGGGTAACATGAAGGACAGGCAAACTTGGGGCAAGAGGAACTTGTATTTTGTCTCGTTTGATTGAAGTTCAAGGTCAGTCTCTGAGGTCAGTCGGCCTGATTGGGCCGTAAAAGGTCTACCAGAACATATCCTACTGGAGGATGAGCAGGCATAGCGCATTTGGAGTTCCAAGCTGGTTTTGGACGCTGGCAAGTGTCAAAACAGGGTGCCCCTTGCTGAGGGGATGTCAAGAGAAAGCCACCCACTTGGTGTGTCTCTACTTTCGATGCGCAAGTGTTCCACCAGGCTTCAACCACGGGACGCAGTTGGGTATGTCGGGTGATTGCACGGCTGCCAGCACCTACGGAGATCCTTGGCTGCATTTTCCGCCAAGCTGGCCGTCGGTCGTCAGTTTGAAGCGTGGGAGGAGTATGTGGCCTCCTCGTTTTGACATGTACATGGGTTCCTTGCTGTTTGAAGACACTTCTGGATTGAAGTTTGTGGGCAGGGTGAACTGGGTATTGGTCACTTTTGAGTGAGCTAGCGTCTAAGCAGGGCTTGCTCACAGGTCGACTCGAGGAACTGATCCAATCGCTGGGACCTAGGCCTTGGTGGGACCCGTCACCTTAGACGTGCCAGGGCACGTGACGATTACCAGCGCGCCTCGGCCGCAGTTGTTTTTTTTCCCCGAGTGTTTGTAGTTGCACAATGTTGCGGCTTGCCCAGAAGTAGAGTTGCTTAGATCAACCGCTTGTCGGGAGTTGGGCCTCATCACTGAAAGAGAGGAAACGAGACGGAGCGAGGTTTATCTTACAAGAGGGCCCATGTCCCACGAGTCAAATTATGTTGATTTGGTCTGTAGCAATTTGATCTATGACCAGCCCTCCAGCAAGGGGTTGAGCAATAAGGGCTGGCTCTACACAAATGCGCATTGCAGTTTTGGCGCCAGCGGCCAGGGCTGGCGGAAGGTTGGGCGATAGTGGTGACCTACGGTGTGCGTACACTCCTCTATCTCCAAAGAAGTTTTGCAGCTGGTGACATCAGGTGCGAAGGGTATACTCAAAAGAGTTGTTTTGAGAGCGCTAGGAATCAAGCCAGATCAACCGTCTATGTGTTGTGAGCTGCCCTCAAGATATCCGTCAGGCGGCCCGAGCTGCCTGTTCGTGCACAGAGAATCAGGGGACCTGGTCTAATGACCGGATTCTGGAAGGCTTGCGCCAAAGGACAATGCGCGTAAAGAAACCCAATTGTAACACCACATGGCCGTGGGTCAAAACCAATGGTACTATTTTGGGGCAGGTGCACCACCCATTTTAGCCTATTTTAGTGGGGATTGGGATGTTCACTGGGGGTATGGGGTTTTGACCCATGGGCATATGTTTCCATTGTCCAATAGTTACCCAGAGGTGGCAGCGCGAACTTGTCCTGTATGCAGCGAAGGGATGCTGGTGCAAAGTTGCAACGGAACCGCTTGTGCAGCCGTGTAGCTATCACTCACACTAGCATTAGGTTTAATAAGAAGGGCTTAAAGGACAGGACTTTCAGATAGAACAGTCAAAATACAACAGTGCAGTGGATCCATGTACCTTGTTTTGTAGGTATAACCAAGGGCTTGCACATTCAGATAGGCAAGGCCGGCCAAGACAAGGCATCTCTGGGAGCAGAAAGAAAGACAGGAGACTGTATCTTTCACTATGGGTGAGACGTGCTCATCAAGATGAGTGGTAGGATTGTGAGTGCTCAAACCACCTTAGCCAAAAAGTCCTCAAAGTGTAGGAGTCCAAATCTTCTTGGTGGCCAGGCCATCTTGACTTGATGCGTGCCAGATCAGCGAGTGCGCACTCCCGCGTGTGTGCGCGCGCGGATTTTTCTCGGGTCTCACGGTCTCTCGCCAGCGCGTGTCTCGTTTCAGCGGAGTTGGCCTACTGTACCCTTCTGCCGGGGCGGACTTATTTGGTTCCACTCTCATCGAGTGACTTTACCGTGGTCAGATGGGTCGCACCATGCTCTAGGTCCCCCAGAAGTGCCCTTTCCTGCCCCTTTTTTGGGTCAGGGTTCCCCCTACCAACATAGCCTACAGACAAAAAAAATCGGGCACCAAGAATAGAATGTAAGCTCTTTAGTGGAGGACCTCGCGTAGTTCCCATGTGTTGTTTTTGGCCGAGACGGTCCGGCATCAGAGCTTGGGCCCTCGCGGGACCTAAGCCGAGGCCAGCCACGGGACCTGCATGAGCATCAACCATGTGATACCCTGGACGCTCACCACGGTGCACAACTCGAAATGCCTCTTGGCCGGTGCTGCGTGTCTGCCGTGCCTCGGTTTTTTGGTTTGAGGAGAAGCCAAAAGGAGAGCCACCATTTTTGGGGGTAATACAAATGCCACGCTCAGCTGAATGTGTCAGCGACATGTTCTTATATGGCGAAGGCGTCTTCCGCTGGATCTCTTGCAGTGGATGTGCACAGAGAACTTGCAAGAACTTTCTTAGAGAGCTTGTGGAGAACTTGCTCAGAGAAACTTGCGCAGAACAGTCAGAGAGAAGTTGCAGAAGGAGCTTGCCCGGAGAACGCTTGCTCAAAAAGTTTGCGCAGATCTTGCAAGGAATGACAGAGAGACTTGATTTCTGTTGAGAAATTGGATCTGACTGGAATTGTCGACGCTGCTCAGGATGGCGACCCTTTGCCCATCAACCTGTTGGAAAAAATGGATGGCAGCATGTTGCAGCCGCGATAGTGCCAAGCAAAGTGCTGCAAACACATGACACGGCATGTTTCTCGTTTTTGAAAGTCTGGACAGACCGCCCAACAGACTTGGACTACATCTGTGAAGAACGACGACTACCGTTTTTTTGCGCGGGCATACTCTCGCCGACAGCTTGGTCGAATATGTGTTCAGACCGCCTGCCTTCTAGTTTTTGCTTTGAGAACCGGCTGACTCTTCACGGAACGTGGGCAGACAAAAAGGCCGACCATTGCCATGGCTGCGTTTGTTTTGTTTGTTGCCGTGCAGTGAAGGCTTGGACTACGCATTCGGCACCGACGCGAACAATGTCTACTCGCACAACTGCCACGGCAATGGTGGCTGGGCACAAAATCGTTTCTCGTACCATGTGTGAGTATCCTGCTGTTTTTGGCGACCTCCCTTAGAACCCTTGTCAAATGGGAAATGGGTCAAAGAGGAATGGGAGAGGCGCTCCCGCTCGAGGCAACGACCTGACAATTCTTATGCTTGTTCCTTTCGGTGGAATGACACTTGTTCATGCCTACTGTTTGCGGGATCACAAAAGCGCATTTGGTGTGTGAGTGAGTCAAGACTGCCAGCTCAGACAACCAGCAATGGTATATGGTCAACGGCAACATTTATTCGCTGCACGACGCGAAGTGCTTGGACTACCACACCGGCACCGACAATGTCTACATGCACGATTGCCACGACGGATCCAACCAAAAATGGTATTTTGATGAAGACACGAAAGCGATCCGAAGCGAGTACGACCACAGGTGCTTGGATGTTGCTGGAACGGATAATGTGTACGTTCAGACGTGCCATTTTCAAACCAATCAACAGTGGGAAGCATGGCTGCACTTGATGATTTGTCTTTACCAACACGTCTTTTTCCATGTCTCAAGTGGAAGGAGGCATGAAGGAGGCGTTGTTTTTTGCTTGCTCCGGTGTTTATCGGGGTTGTGTGTTGGGACTGGTTTTGGTGTAGGTGTGCTAACCCACTCCTTCCCATGCATGGGGGCAACTAGCCCGCCATGCAGAATAGTTTACGTAGAGTAAAAAGGAATGTTAGCAGCTGGAGCGAGACTAGCCCTTAATTCCACGCACACCCACCTCCAAAGTCAGACCTTGCCAGGGTTCCCTGTATTTCCGCTTTGGTGGTGTTAAACATCACCTTTTGGGCCAATTTAACGTTGGGTTTCTTGTGCAGGGCTCCTCAGAAGATACATTTTGCCCATTTGAAACATGGCTTTTTCCACCAGAATAAAGGGAAACCACCATTTACAAGGCAATGTTCAGGTGTATAATGTAAGGATCCCTGTATTATGGTGAGGTTGAAACCCATATGGAGCCCTGCTTGCAGGATCGACACGAAACAACCGGCAAAGCCTTTGAGCTTGCCCTACAAATGCCATGCAGCGGCAGTGCTGCTGAATCCATCACCGTGGAGCCGATCGGAGCCTTGGATGCAACGTCCGGACTATCCCCGTAGCCATGTGCCAAGTGGCTCATGTTCAATTTACCCACAGCGGAATCAAAGCTTGGTGGCTCCGAGCCATCCCCTTAGCCTTTTAGCCGTTTAGTGTTTAGTGGTAGTTTCCATTTGACCCACGAAAAGTTAAACTTTTAGCTGGGGATCTGAGGGCAGCCCAGAAGGGGGCTGACTATGTTTTTTTGGTGTTCCAGACCCCTGTCTGGCACCCAGCCAGACACAGCGACCGTTCAGTTTGGGGCCGCAGGAAAGCAAAGCCTGTGTTTTATGCGTGTGGCTACGTGTTAAAAGTATGCCTTATGCACCCTTCCAATAATTCATATGGCCTGTGGGTGAAAAATAGGTAGCCAAAATGGAACCCTCGTAAATGGAACCAGGGACTAAAACCTGCGGTCTCCTGGTGGCCTCATTTTGACCCACACCCATATTGAGTCTCTTGATCTGTCCCTAAATTATTGCCTCATGTTGACTCGTTTTGACACCATCACCAGGGGCCTTGGGAACGCAAGAGCAATTTGCATGGTCTGGCCCCAGCCTCGCTGAGCTGATTCTTGGAAGGCGCCTTCAGCTCACTGTCACGGGGTTGAGTGAACAACTCTGCAATCGGAGAGTGCTAAGCGATAAGTCGAATGGGAGTGTGCGGTACCACCAAGACTAAAAGTCATGACTGGGCTAGACTTAGGATACATGTTTTTTTTTTGTTTTTTACATTTTGCCAATGACTCAAAGCAAAGCAAACCATAAAATATATATTCTATAACTGGGCCCAACTCTAAAATTACGGGAAAGTTATGTTCGTGACTTTCGGCACCTTATATCAGTTGCATGTGTTTTCTCTTCCGCTCAGCTCATGCCAGGCAGCTGAGAGAATTGCGGGTTGAAACGGGCTGAATCCGAAATCAACATGTTCCAGATAGCTCGTTGGTTTCAGTAAACACAAGAATTATCATATCAATTCGCCTGGGAGAAAAGGGGTTTTGCCCACGTGGGCAGGTCGGTCGTATAGATTATGATCGTTTCAGATGTCAAGTTGCTAGCAACCCACAGCTGAGGAGTATGGACTTGCCTGCTTGGAGCTACATGTTTACGAAAGGAGTGCGTTAATCAATTCACCGCTGCCCTTGCAGCAGGCTTTCTCAGCCCACAGGAAAGAAGCACGAAAACCTCAGCCCTCTTGGTGTCAACCAGTTTTGATCCAGTCAACCTGCAGAAGGGTCTTCTTTAGACGCCCAAGTTGTGTTGGCTTTTTCATGTCGGCCTTGTCCTTTTGGGACGGCCCACGGCGCAAGCCGTGCAGAGGCAGCCACCAGAAGTTCCGCCTGAAGAGCCAGGGCCACACGTTGGATGGGGAGTACAAGTTCAGCAGCAACAAGCGCCTCGAACCGATTCCAGAAGTTTTTTCTTGTTTTTTCGCCCGTCGAGATGGGTGTTATTGAACCTACGAAGATAAATCAAACACAGATGTATTTCTCCCTCCATCAATCTATGTCCGTAAATACTCCTAGGTATGTCCGTCCGAAACCCTGGAATATTAGCGGTGCTTGTCCAAGTGCAGTCAGTTGCAAGAAACACCCATGTTGCAATGCTTGACATGAAACGACTTGTTCCAAGCTGCAATTAAACAATATCAGGAAACGTGTGCAGTTGCTGGAATTCTATTGTATCAAACTAGGTCGCAGTTTGTAAATAATGACGAGTTTCATGTTCAACTCGATTGAACGTCTTCAGCACTGGAAACCTCTGGAAGGCTTCAACCACGCGCTTTCCCGTGACTCAGTAGAAAGCAGAGGTTTTACAGCCAGTGTCTCTTGAGACTCGGGTCAGCACTTGCTAGCAAACGCATCTCAAAAGCTTCTGGCAGGGCTCCTTAAAAGCTACATTTTGCCCATTTGAAACATGTTTTTCCACCATAATTTCAGGGAACCCACCATTTACGAGGCACTGTTCAGGTGTATAATGTAAGGATCCCTGTTTTCTGGCTAGTGTGAAGCTCAAGGATGCTGGCTGTTGGCTTTGAGATGCCGATCGGCAGATTGGAGCCCATGGAAGCCAATGTTAGCGCTCATCTGGTGAGGCTGCACAGCCAGAAAAGATTGTGGTTTCGTGTTAGATTCGCAGTGCTTCTAGGGCCTCCAGAGGTTGGAATACGGGCCTGTAGTCTATTTTAGTAGGGGAACCCTCCCCACAAACAGCATACAAGGGCACTGCTTCTTACCTTTGACTGTTGCAGTTGTGTCGACTGTGTGGATATTTCCACACACACACACTTGCACAAAACAAGCACCTTAAGTTGGTAGGTTTCGCTTAGAGGGGTAAGTTTGGACAAGTGAGTTGACCTGAACATGCAGCCTTGTAAATCAAAGCTGCCGGTGTGGTGTTCGAGGTGAAATTGTGAGGGCCTCCCTACATACTTGATCTAAAAAGCTCCTGGACGCATCATTCCATTCCTATATAGCATTGGTCCGTAGTATGCTGGACTCTGCATTGGAGATCCGGACATGCGGGTCAGCTTAGAACAAATAGCTGGTTGTCAGATTCGGCAGGAAACTCCGAGTCTTTGGGGGTCTTGGCCAAACTCCTAGAGCAAACTCCTGCCAGTCTCTTTCTGTATATGTTTCCGTGCGGTTTCGTTGCTGAGGAAGATTGAGCGGGTGGATGTGGCCAACAAGTGCATGGAGGCAGACTACCAACTGAGCGGCGTGGATCAAGAAACTTGTGTCGACAGTGCCTTGGCCTAGAGAGCGCGCCATCGAGCCATCGAGGCTCAAAGCCGAGTTGAGGGATGGGTTTCCCCCCCTGCCAGAAATGGATGTGCCGGATAGCCGCCTTAGTTCTTGAAGCGTGGTTCTGGGCTTGGGCCATTTTAGGTGTTGAGTGTGACTCTAGTGGGCTCAGTAGGCCGCACCAAGCTGCACTCCAGTTCGCAGACAGCACGATCCACATTTGTCGCGAGTGTGTAAGCCGGGGCTTGAAGTGAACTGACTCGAGTAGTTTAAATTATTCTAGGGGTCACCGTGCAGGGTTGCGCCTGTGTGTGCGTGCTTTAATAGCTGTTGGACACGTTAGCACATCAAGTTTGTTTTGGCGTAACCAAGTGCAAGGCTTACAGTTTTGGCCAGTTCATGGTGTAACAACCTGCAGCCACAGGGGGATGACAAGACCATTTGCGGGTATTTTGTTTGCCAGGGTAAATGCACCACTCGACTCCTGCAAATGTGGCGAGCCACGTGGGAGTTGTGATCAGCTTGCCCCGTCAAAGGCTCTATTTGGATTTGGGTGTTTGTTGTGCTTTCCATGAAAGGCACTTCTTCGCTGTTAACCAACATTTGTTTCGTTGCTCGAGTTTCTTCTTGACAAACAATGGCCTTTTCGCCAAAGCTTCCCTCGTTTCCTCACATGCTTTGTCTTGCGTGAAGGCTCCCTTTGTCCATTCCCCTTGCGTGGCTTCGACTCAATCCGGGCGTCCTCCAAAGGGAGATTCCTTTGCACATGAACTTTGGGCGGGTGTTTTTCTTTTTTTGCGGGAGGGCAGCGCCCCCCCAAAAAAATAAATAAATACTAATGTGGTGGTCCTTTTGGTTTCCCTTAAAACGGACCAACAAAGGGTACCCCAAAAAAGACACATCGTCGCCTTTGCCTGGCAAAAAAAAAGAGCAAGTGGGCTCAGCAAGCACCAAAAGCCAGCTCTTTCCTTTCCCCAAAGAACCTCTCCGCATGGGTCTGTCGTTTTTCTGGGACCCGCCTTTTTAAAAAAGACACCCAGATAGATTTTGGGGATTCGAGCCAGCAAGGTCTCGAGCAGGAGTGGGTCATCGGTCACGGCCTGCAGGGCCTGGCAGATGCGCCCATCGCCTGCGTGGGCAACCAGGCGAGAGCCAAAAGCAACGGCTTGCGCGGCGAAAGCTCTCTCCTTACCTGTCGATTTTGCTTCTTCTACGTACACAAACGAGAAAGAACAAAAACCTACACTGTAGATGATTGTTTCTTTCTCGTTTGTGTACGTAGAAGCAAACATATGTCCAAACTCGATACCCTGCAGAAGATCAGCTCGTCTTAGTTTGTATTGCCGTCCCGGCAAGGGTGAATTGGGTGACTCGGTTAGACACAGCGACTTGAAAGGCCGCTCTGCATTGGCGCAAGTCGGTCATTTCCAGGGTCTACTGCCGAAGTTTCCCTAGGTTCAACAGTTGAACCCTGCCAAGCTTGAAGCTCAGATCCACAGTTCTGGATGTCGTGGTGCATGAACTCAGCTCGCCTTTGTCTCAAGTGACTCGCAATGCCATCTATCCACTTCGAGTGTTGGTACTCAGGAGATTGTGGAGACTTCCTAGGGCGCTCGTTCACGTGTCAGCTTTTCTTTCCTTGTTTCATGGTATTCATACCCTCAACGTCCTTGAATCAACTCTGGGGTAGACTTAGGATACATTTTACATGTTGCCAGTGACCCAAGGTGAAGCAAACAATATGTGACGTGTATATATATATATATATATGCTCACCCCCCCCCCCCAGGGCCTACCTTTCCACTTCAAAATGTACAAAACCCTCTTATTTGTTAAAGACAGGGGGTGTGAGCATATATACGCAATATATGTATATATATATATATATTCCATAACTGGGCCTAACTCTAATCATGAACTGTGTCACCCCTGAACAAAAATGCATGCCTCGTGTTCGTGGGGTGGGCCACCTGTCAGAATGGATAAGAACAGCTGACCTGAACTCACCGCGCCCTGAGGTTGACCCCCCAAACACCCCTCTCCCCCGTTCCGAAACACACCCCCTTGGGAAAGACTGAAATAGGCCTTGTTGTATGTTTTTTGGAGGTGTGTTTGGGGGGGGGTGTTGTGTGTTTGGGGGGTCCCAACGAAAAAGTTCTATGAACGGAAGACTTGTGCAAGGTGATCAGCTACTTCGAAAAGACCAGCTCGCAGATTCGACGCTTAGATTGACATTTGGATGTTTTTTTTGAGGGTGTCCGTTTTAGGGTTGGTTTCAAGAGAAGACACAGGAAAACTACCCACTGCAGCCCTCCACATAGATGGAGTCCGTTGAGTATGGACAAACTTGGGACCCTACATTTAACACCTGGGTTTGCTGCTGCCAAGTCGTCGCCCCGCGCCGAGGATACAAATGTGTCCATGTCTCCTCCCTGGGCATGTGTTCACCAGGCCCGCGGGCGGACTCGGTAAGGGGCAAGTGTGTTCGGGAATTGATTTTCCGAACATGGAGTTTAGGCCGCATCACATTCAGCAGTAGAACCTAATTAAGGGCCCAAGAAGTCAATCTTTATTTTGCGCAGATACTGACAGTGCTGACGAGTGGCCACTGTTTGCTTGGGGTGAAAGAAGTAATGCAGCACGCTGGAGTTGCCCGTGGTGCTTTCCCATATTCAGAATCCCGGAAGCAAGACAGAAGGCAAAGGCAAGTTGTAGACATTTGTGTCTTTTTTTAGGTTGATATTATGGTCAGAATGCGGTGGCACAGGTTTAGACTGATTTTGTTCCATTACCAGGGCCATCTACGTTTCCTAAAGGTCTCATATTGCTGCAGACCACAGCTGGAGCTGGAAACAGCCGATTTCATGACTACTCGGGCCTCGGGATTGGAGCTTCTTTGAGATAGGCAGTTCCTCAAATGCCTCAGGTCAAGCTTGAAGCGGCAGCTCCCAGACACAAGCGCACACAAGCACAGACAAGCTCGCACAAAAAAAGGAAAGAAACAACAAACACAAACAACGAACAGACCAACAAGCAAACAAAACAAAACAAAACATGACAAGCAAGCAAACAAACCAGCAAGCAAGCATGCAAGTAAGCAAGCAAGCAAGCAGACAAAAAACAAACATGCATACACCCATACGCAGGCGCTACCCACCCGAGCAACAAGCCCAACCATCGAGTGCTGCGAATCGAAGATAGTTCACAGCATCGACCGAATTCAGCCTTTGCTTGAGCATTGATTGCCATATTTTGCCATTGAGAAGGACGAAGCTGCTTCGACAAAAAAACGGCATTGAGAGCATGTACGTGGCTGGTCTTTTGATGGGTGCCCTGTTTGGATGGCTTCCAAAGGGGAAACCAAAGGGAACAACAGGATATGTCAGATGGTCAAAACCTCTCCTGTTTTGAGACAAACCCAGATCAATCTTGGCGCAGGTGCAAGGCTTGATCCTTCCGTTTGGGACATGGAAACCGCCCAGACTTCGGAGACGTGTGCCCGCTTTGGTTTTCTGGGGACCTTTTTTGACGGCGAGTGGCAGGCTATTCCGAGCAGGTGGACACCAAGTCCCTTGAGCTCGAGGATGTGAAGGCGAGATGGTGGAACGGCAAAGATCCTGGGCAAAAACGACTCCTTATCCTTGGGGCCTGTTCAAGAGGAACTCTGTAGCCCAACCCAACTATCTTTGACCTGTCCTCCACAACCAGGCATTGGTATGGATTCAAAGAAAATGGGGAGCCCACTCTCCAGCAGCTTGACTCGTTCGGGGTCTGCCCGGCCCTGATCCTTTGCCTCGCCGCCACTGTGGATGGACAAAATCCATTTCGCAGCTGAGAAACCCTGGCTGGAATGATTCGAATCCCCTGTAAAAGCCACTAAACAATGGTTTCAACCATGGTTTCAAAATGGTGCGAAATGGATTTCGCAACCATCCACAGTATTTCGGTCGCTTTTCTCCCGTGCTTCACTCCGCTTGTCGCCCCGCTCTTCTCTCTGAGTCTGTTTTTCTCCCTGTTCTCCTTTACCTTTTTCCACGGTCCCCCGAAGACAGGGTTCAATGCCTGTTTCGCTCTTGCGTTTGAAGGCCGTTCCGCGCAGTCAATTCACGGTCTGCCTTGGTTCGAAGTTGACGTGGGACACTGTGTGCGTGTGCTTCGTAGTCGGCTATGCTGAATTACACAATATGGCTGTGGGTCAAAACCAATGGTACAAGTTTGGGGTAGATGCACCACCCATTTTAGTTTTGTTTAGTGGGCATTGGGATGTTCACTGGGGGTACGATTTGGATTTTGACCCACAGCCATATTATACCGTCCTCTCCGTACCTTCTCTTGTAGCACCTTGTCTCGGGCTGCTGATCTTTTCAAGCTTTAGCCCTAAAGGGAAACCAGAAAGACACCACTTGTTTGAGGCCATGAAAGCAAAGACTAAAGAAACCATGTTATGTGCAAAACCTTAAGGGAAAACCACATCTTTTGCAGGGTTAGCCCAAATAAAGCCAACCTAAAGGGACCCGGCATTTTTGCAAAAGTGTTTCCCCAAAGAAATGAATCTATGGGCTAGGTCCCCCAGCTAGGTGCCCTTTTACCCTTTTTTGGGGGAGGGTTCCCCCACTAAGATAGACTGCAGAATAAAAATCGGGTACCCTTGTTCTAACCTCTCCACTGGACTCAGTTGTTCAGTAGCACCCTTTTTCCCCTTTTTTTGGTGATTGCCCCCCTAAAAATGGTCTTCCCCAAAAAGGGTTCCCTTTTTTTTCTCCAGGGTCACTGAACAACTGAGTGGAGGACCTAGGGGTGAGCCCCGACCTAATTTCTGGGAGCCCGGGACGCGACGCATTGGCGCCGCAGTCCCTTCGCCTCATGACGGCCACCTGCCCAGTGGGCCACGGCTTGCGCTCCTTGATGGCAGAGGCCTCCGACAAGGGCGCCTGGATCCGGCTCCGCTACGAGCCCCGGATCCGCAAAAAAAAGCGCACAACGCGGGGTCCGTGGGGTTGGTCCGTGATAAACCGAACACGCGTTTGGTTTGTGGCCGGGTGTTGTTTTGAAGGGAAACCAAGAGGGAGGACAACCGTTTCAAATCACTTGCAGTAGCCTTCGCAGACCCAGCGAGACGATACAAGCTTAACTCCAGAAGGTTGTGCCTCGTTTATTAAAAGTAGCCTCTTGTTCGGCGATCAAGACACTTATGTTGCAAAGGGGCACCTCTTGTCGGTCCAGCTAGATTTCCCCACAAGTCAGCCCGTAACATCACCTTTTGGCTGCCACTTTTAGATGAGATTCCTCTTGGTGGGGTGATGTTTAAGGTGGAAAGACAGGGAGCCTGCCTTGTTGGGGGTAGGTGTCACCAGCGTAATTCCCTGGGTTCAAATATGAAATATCAATTCCCTGGTTGACTTAGGTAGCAGAGGGGGAGCCTGCGGTAGTTGCGGAATCAACCAAAGCGACATTCCAGAGTTGACTTAATTTTGGGGTTCACTCAGGTCATATCAAGGGGAACTGAAGGAACCCTGGATTTCCTTCCAATTTTCTCGGGGTGTCCTCGGGATTTCCTTTGGGATGCAGAGGTTTACAATTTCAACCAGCGAGGAGTGCTGCCAGATCAGCCGGGTGCCAGTCACCGTGTACCCGTACCTCCTGAGCAGTGAGTTGAGGGACTTCGACACCGGCATGGCCAATGCATGGGAAGGCCAACCCGGGAATCGCATCGCTAAGACGACCCGCAAAGCCAGTGCCAGCCTAGATCGGAAAGCTGTCGGAAGTTGGTTATGGATTGGAAGTCAAGCAATTGACTTGACCGCTATCGGGTTGGATCTTTAGACTTTACCTTTTTGAGAAATCAAGGGGTGTTCCACTAAACCCCCAACAAGTTAAACCTTTTGCAGGGGGTCAACAGCAACCAAGTTGAGGCATATTTGATTCGTACCCAGTGCCTCAGGTCGGATCAAAAGGCTTCAGAGCGGCCGGATCATGCTTGTGAGTTAGCTGGCCCAGGATTATTGGCTGTCCCAGTGTTGTTAAGTGTTGAGCGTGTTTTCCTTCAGAAGATATTTCTCTACTCCTGTTTTCCCCATGTGGTTCCTGCAGTTGTTTGCTTGCTTTAGGTGGGTGTTCTTGTTCGTGGCGCCTTCGAAGCAACTTCTGAACTTTGCCTACCAGTGTGCGCCTGCCTTTTTCTTGTCAGACTACTTTGGGGAGGCGAGGTGAACAGGCTACCAGGCGAAGCCATCGATCCATAGGCCTTCGGCCTTCCGTGCGTCAAACCCCTCGGGCGCCCCCCCTCTCCGTGGAGGCGTCTACTGCCCGACCTCCCTGGACAGCTCTGGGCGCATGCAGTTCTCGCAGTCCAGGAGCTTCAAGCCTGGGCAAAACCCCTCAGGCGCCTGTGGGGAGAAACATCGATCGATCCGCTGTTCGAAAACCTGGCACCTCGTATCCTTGCAACGGCACACGGCCCAGGAATGAATCCGTCGTCTTGTGTTTTTTGTTGGGTTGCAGCCGTCTGGGCAAAACGGCTAAGAGCGCAGCTTCACGTTCCATAGCACTCTGCTCATGTGATGAAAAGTCGAGTAAGGCAAATAGAGGCGCGGGCGGATTTCCTTGAACTGATCCGCCTCGACACCGGCATCATTGCGGCATCATGTGTTCTTTGCTTTAGCCCAATGGGATGTGTAGTTTTGTTCGGCCATCATTTGGAGCGCCTAATGCGTACGGGCCGGGAAAAGACACTGCGTGTAGGCTTGCAAAGAAATGATCCACTTGAAGCAGGACTCAGGGTATGTGTTTGCATGGTCGAGAGTTTCACTCAAATTCCGACAAACCAAGCGCTCAGGGGCCACCAGCAGGCTTTCAACACGCTAGAAGTTGAGTTCACCACGGTATTTGATTTACCCGGCTGGAAGGTGGAATGTGAAAGGCATCTTGCGGTAGCTTTGCCTTCCGCATGGCGATGTTTTGGGTCAGGTACGTTGACCTACGACAAGTTTCAAGGCCAGTGGTGTGTCACCGGCAAGACCTGCGCAGCCTCCGACATTGTGCGCCTTGGCTCAATTCGGGTTGTTCGAGTTTTCGAACCCTGGCAAGTCACCACGAAGGAATGGGCACATCCAACATTTGCGAAGGAATGTTGGATGAATCAACCTGGTCCATCCCATCTGTTCAAGCATGCCAGGGTTTCAGACTTCTGCGCACCCAAACAAGCACGGTGCCAACAATGGTTTCTTTGATTCCCCAGGCCCCGGCATCTTGGCTCGGTTCACAGCATGGCTACAACCACTACCTTCTTTGGCTTGACTCAGACTTGCGATTGGGTCAGAGAAAGGCTGTTACCCATCTGTTATTGGGAGTAAACCCAGTTGTTTGTTCCGGATTTCCAAGATGTGCATGAACACACGCGGGTGCCTCCTGGGTTCAACCGTTGCAGTCGTTTGGCAATTTAAACTTTGCACTGACAACATCTCCCACCTACCTTAGTCTTTGTGTCAGCATATGTCAGCATTTAACTTTGCACGAAGGGGCCCCTATGAGAGGCATGACCGATGTAATCTGGCCTGTTCCAGCGTCGCTCGCCGTACCATCTGAATCATGAATTTGCATAAGGTCAAATCTGAGCATATCAACATGTGAATCTAACAACGATTCTAGGGGTTGATTCTTATTCTTTTCAGCCGTCGTTTTTTCAATAACCAGCCATTTTTCCCAGGGTTTTTTGGTTTTCTAGAAAGATTCGGATCCCCGGAAAGAATGGGGAGGGTACCCCCTAGAATGTTTATCCGGGCATGTGCCTAAATGGGGTCAATACCTAGTGGGTGTATTCCCAGGGTGTAATACAAAAACCCTTAGAGATGTGTTTCCTCTGATTTTGATCACTGGCCAAGCTGGGAAAGGGGTCGCTGACTTGGCTACTTTCGGCTGAGTTGGGTAGCTTGGCTGGTTTGGCTGTGTGTTTGCGTTTAGTTGGTTTATTAGTTTGCTAGTATGTTTGTTTGTTAGTATGTGTTTGTTTGTTAGTTTGTTATTTTTTCAGCTGTAGTTTTGTTTGATTGGTTCAGTGGTGTTTACTTTGCGCTGGTTTAGTTTAGGTTAGTGAGTTACTTAGTGAGTTTGTTGGTTTGCGAGCTTGCTTGTTACTAGGTTTCTTTGTTGTTTTGTTTCTATTTTCTGTGCTTCTTTCATTATTTGTTTCCTTGTGTATTGTTCGTTCAGTTGTGTCTTGCTGTCGTTGGGGGTAGACCAAATATGAAACAAGATCCGAAACTTTGTTTCTGGAGTACAGACGTGGCCCCTTTGGTCTTGGCGAATGGCTCCATTTCCACTAAAGACTTAGCTTGGTTTTTTGACCGTCTGCCTTCTTGGTTGTCCATATTAATAATAATGATCTGCTCTAGCAAACAGATGGTTTTCGTTTCGGGGGCCGGATCCGCTCCCAGTTTCCGCATGAAAGGCACCCGCTGGACAGCCCCCTGGGGGGCTCGGAGTGGCGCGTGGTGCCCGTTTCGGACTTCGACGCGCAGTTCGAGGCGAGGGGCGTGAAGCCCAGCGGGGGGAACAGGAAGAGGAAGCCCCCGCCCCTCATCAAGCCGCTCGGACGGCAGGCCTGCCGAAAGGCCCGAGCGGTCGGCCGTGGTTTTCATTCGGCCAGGGGTCCAAGGAGTAAAAAGCAGACAAAACACAGGATTGTGCGGATTTGAGCGTTTCTGCAAAGAGAACTGATCCTGTAATGATAAATATTCTTCTGGTTTCCATTTTCTGAACCAAATGGGGGCCGTCATTGTGAAAAAAAAATACACGAGTTGCACCGGAAAGAAAAACATGGTAGGATGTTCCAGGTCATACTGTAGGTGTCCGTCTTAGTTTGGCAAAAGAAACAAGGCATGGGTTCAGCTGCGTTACCCAGTTCACTGGTTTTAGTTCCATGAAGTTCCATTGCATATGTGTCCAAATGGAAATCTAATGTGGGTGTGCTCCGGACGGGCTTGGTCCATACGCTCAGTGAAGACGGGCGCGATGAATCCGCCGAGAGTCGAGCGTCTAGATGGGGAGGAAGGTGTCGTGTTTCTGTGGGGCTTCTTCCTGTCAAAGCGCTAGGGCCTTCATTTTCTAGGTCCTCCAGCTAGGTGCCCAATTTAAACCCAGCAATAGCTTGACTGCCTCAGCATGTGTTGTTCACGTTGCTTGTTGCTTGTTGAACTGCATACATATGTGCATGTTGGAACATTTTGAATGACACCTAATGCATCCCCGCACTGGCTCTAAGAGTGGCATTGTGCTTGCGAACAGCCATTCGTGAGGAAAGGACACAACTGCCTGTACAGGCTATAAGACATTTTGGACAATGTGGCTGTTTGGCTATTTGGCTCTTGGTGTGCTTGTTCCCGGCAACTTGTTCAGTGGTTCTACAGTGTCATTTGCTACGAATCAGCAGATGCTGGAGCATTCGCGGTGCTTTTGGCCTTACATTCGCTTGTTTTCATTTGAAACTGAGGTTTGGGGCCACGGACCCCGAGTACCTCCCGGAGTGCAAGGACGAGTCGCACCCCGGCACTCGGAAGTTCAAGTTGGAGATCATGAACAGCGAGGCTGAGAGTCTGGACGACGAGAACCCCTGCAAGCTCCCCGGCTTGAAGCGCTTGCATAGGTCGGAACTTACCTCATGTACGACGATTGCTGCATTCCATGGCTTTAAACATCTAGGTCCCCCGGTAGTGCCCTGTTACCCTTTTTTGGGGGAGGGTTCCCCTACCAAAATAGACTACAGAAAAAGGGTACCATTTTTCAAACCTCTCTACTGGAGGACCTAGACATAAAACGTTTTTCCCTGGCAAGCCAAGAAATGAACAAATGCCAAATGCAAAGTTAAGGTGGCATCAAGTTACCGGGAATAGTTACCCCTTGTGATATATGGTTTGAGAATGCAAGATGGTTATACTGTGTTGATGGGAACTTTCTCTTGTTTTTTTTTTTTTTTTTTTTTTTTTTTTTTTTTTTTTTTTTTTTTTTTTTTTTTTTTTTTTTTTTCGGCCTTGTGTTTCCATCGGCAGCTTTGCGTGCCTGAGGGCATGAAGTGGCGAGTCTTTGAATTTCCGCTCAGAAATTGGCAGTAGACCGCATCCACGTTGAGCCGCCCGTAATTGTCTTTCCCAAACCTGCACGGAAACTATCACACGGACAGAAACCGTCGGAAAAAACGGAGCGAGAGAAGCAAAGGTTCGAATTGGGATATCAGCAATGCCCAGTGCAGTGAGTAGGTGTTCAGCCTCTGAGGTATGTCTTTGGGAAGTCGCCTTCGGACAAGTCTCTGGAAGACGCGGAGGGCATGACGGGCTGGAAGGATGACCTCAAGGGCAACACCGGGGCTGGCGTAGGTGGGCTTAGACCGCAGTCCAAGAGGTGGCATTGGACAAATGGTCCCTAGCAGAACTCGGTTGTCCTGGCCAATCTTTCCAGAAGCCAAGGGCGGTTGATGGGCGAGCTCTGGACATCTGGTTTCGCTTGCTTTGTTTTTCTCAGATGTTTTTGCAAGAGAGTTTCAATACCAGAGACTCGCCCGACTTGGTCACTGAGCTTCAGAGGCCCTTTGAATGAGGGCGATTTGTTTGCGGTCTGCAAAGGAATTGATGAGACTCCCAACATTCAAACTGAGTATTGTTTGTACAGGGCCTCACCTCCTGGTTTAACAAACAAACACGTCAGCTTAAGGTGCCTGGGAAACACCGTGTCTTATGTCGGAGTCCTAGAATTGTTTGGTTCTGTTTAAGATCGGCAATCAGCATCACTCCTGGGCCTTTCAGTGATACAATAGGTATTTGTTGGGGAGATACGTGTTCATGGGATACCCGGAATTCCACTCGGTCCTTTCTCAAATGAGGTGCCGCCGATTTGGCGGTCAGAACAACTATCGTAACGTTCAACATTCAACATGCTTACAGTTCTCTATCGCAGTGCTCAGTATTAGACTTGTTTACAGAACTAGTCATGGCATGTTGTTTTCGCCTATTGCTCCCCCACTGCCCTCCCCCCCGCAACTTCACATCTGCCTCCAACCACCCTCCCCCCCGACGCAACTTCACATCCGCCTCCAACCACCCTCCCCCCCCCCCCCGCATTCCCCTCCCTCTCCCCTCCCCCACTCCCCTCCCCCCCAGCGCAAAATTACATCCGGCGCGCTTCAACTTCACATCTGCAACTTCGAGTCAACAAAGGATCTTTGCCACTCAGCGCCTCCAGTTTTGCAAACACTTCCCATTTTTTCCAAACTTTTTTTTGGTTGATTGCCCCACTAAAAAGGGTCCAAGCCCCAAAAAGGGGTCCATGTTACCGTGCTCTATGGATCGATTTTGGTAGGTGGCGTCACCTACAAGAGTGTGAAGGAGTGCCCGGGATCCCAGCGATGGAATGTGCCTGGCAGGTTGAACCCTGCCTCACAGACCCAAGTTAGGTTTGCGAAGACATCAAAGACCAATTGGGCGGTTGATCTAAACTTCAATTAAAATCCCATTGTTCGACCGGGTGTTCTGCACCGGCAAACATCGGTACTAAGCACGAATATCCATAAATAGTGGGTCGGGGCGAGGGCACGGGCAATTTTCGATGCTCCCCTTGCGTTGCGAGAAGGTCCGCCGTTGCAGTTGTTTCTCAAGGAGGGTTTGGGGTTTTGGATTGGTCACCCCTCCGTTTGAAAAGCCCAGGCTGGGTACAAATAATACAAGCATGATGACCAGGTGCATTAGTAGCAGTGTTGAACTTGTCGTGTAACTATGTTGCTAATCGTCCATTTGGTTAAGAATATGGTTTGTTTTCCCTTGTTGGTTTTAAAGGGAATCTATCACTACTGGAAATATGTGTTTTTTTTTCCAGGGGACTTAAGCAAATGGAAGGAATTCACTACTCTAGCTAACTACGAGTTTAAAGAGTTTGAAACCGCCTCTCAGGCGGTCGACATGAATCCCCACCCAATGTCCTCCAAAGCGTCCCCTATAGAAACATCTGGGGAAAAACACCCCTTTGGGTGTGTCTTTTCTTATGGGACCCCCGCAAAATAGTAGTTTTCCTTTTGGTTTCCTTACCAACCCTAAAAACAGGCACCCTCAAGAAGAGATAGACCCCCTTGGATTTTGGACGTGCATCCTCTTGGGCACATTGCGGCTTCGGACAACCGAGGCGCCGACCGAGAGATTACGCGGGAGCTGCGGATGGCAAATTGGGCAGAGGAGTGCCCCAGCAAGACCAGGAGGTTGGTCAAGATAGCGGTCCCTTTGGTTTCATTGTGGTTTCCTTTTGGTTTTCCTCTAAGCTTCCCCAGAATTAGCTCCCCGTTTTTGTTTTTTGTTTTTTGTTTTTTTTAAGGGTCCCTTTGTGTTCCACTAACCAGGCAAAAAAGATATTGTTTTGCTGGGGTCCTATTTCCAGCCTAGCAAATACCAACCAAAAGGAGGCTGTTCCGACTCCCATTTTGAGTCGCCACACGCCACGTGATCCGATCGTCGCAGGACCATTTCAACAAGACCAACGGCTTGGACTTCACCAGGGACTTCCTCTCAGGAGCGAGGTAAAGCCACATGCCTAATTTGAATGGGGTTGTGGGACCCGTACTTAAAGGGGCAGGGTGCTTAGCAAGTTGCTAAGCCTGGTTATAACCCACTTAGCCGACTTACAACCATGGTAAATGGGGTTATACCCATGGTTATTGCCCGCTTCTTGAACACCCGGCCCCGTACTATATGTTTGCAAAGTTGGGAGCAACTGCATGCATTTTGCTGCTTGTGGCATGTGCTTGAAGTGGATGTAGCATGTACAAAAGCGGTCACACAATTGTGGCAAAACCCAATGGAAATAACATAAAGTAGTGCTAAAACGACAGCTTAGTCTGCTAACGATGCAGAAGCTGGGATGCTTACCAGGCTTGTAAAATGTTTGCATTCCAATATGTATTAAATCTGAGCTTACTGCACCTACCCCAAAATAGTACAATTGATTTTGACCCACAGCCAAATGATTCCTTTTGGAAGAATCGCAGTTGCAACTCAAAAGGGCGGGGCTTCACAGGCCTTTTTTCGCCCTGCATTGTGAGCACGGCCCACAAACAATGTGGGAGGAGCAGAGCTTGCGCCATCAACTTTATCAACACATGAGCTTGAGTTTGCCTTTGGCAGCCACACCCAATGCATAGCCCAAGTACCCAGTGACAACTCAGGTAAAGTGTCCGCTCCCTTCGACACGCGTGCGCGCGATGGAGTCGGCCAGGGATCGCCGACATCTACCCTGCCGCGGAGGCTGCGCCCTTGGGGGCCGGCTTCGAGTTCCACCCCGGCGCGCTGATTTATTTGATAGGCGCGGGGGTTGGGGAAGCCTGGCAGCCTGGAACTCATTGGGTCCATGTCATTTGCAGTTATGTGGGTGTGGGTCAAAATGAAACCACCAGGAATCGGACCCCAGGTTTGAATCCTGGGTTCCATTTACCAGGGTTCCACTTTGCACTTTGGGTACCCTTTGTTGACCCACAGCCATGTGATTTTGCTGCGCGCATCGGCGCGCCGAGCCTCTGCCAGGTTTCAATTTACTTCCATTTGCTTAAGACTATGTGTTGGTTTTCCCTTGTTAGTTTTAAAAAGAATCTATCACTACTGGAAATATGTTTTTTCCCCCAGGGGGCTTAAGCAAATGGAAGTTTATTGGCTGGATGGTGCTAGGCCATGAGTTGCACCAATCTGGATTTCGCCTTCGGAGAGCCGTGCTGAGTTGGTGGCGTTCCATTGGGAAACGGCCTTTGAAGGTGTATGCGTGATGTTGCTGAATCAGTATCAACCACGCGGGTCCCGCAGTTATTCCAGCCATCTGACATAATCTGAACGGGAACCCCGGTTTGGTCTGCAAGGTTGCACACTGCAAAAGGCCCAAGCTTGAGCTAATTGGTGTCTCTCCCTCCCTCTCTTCCCACGTTTTCTGCTGGTTTGTTTGCACGATGTCTTGCTTTGGTCCTTGTTATGAAGGTCCAACCAGTCCTCTGCCAAATTGTATAGATATGAGCTAGCCCAAGCTTCCGCTGGCCCTCCCCGACCATCCACAAGCGAGCACGGCCTGCATCGTTCTTTCAATTGGCATGCCAGGATCATGTGATCTGCGTGTGTGCCACCCTCGCTCACAAGGGTTTGCATCATATTTGCTTTCCCCAGGCACGCGGGCCCATGGGAGACAAACGCTTGTAGTTCTTCCCTGTTGGCAAGCGGCTTGTAATGGCTTGTAGGCTTGTTGCGCATGGTTTAGCGGCGTCATGTCATTGAGGACACCATTGAGAGACTTCGGAAACGTGTGTGTGGTACAAGAGGTTCCATATTGTTGACCCCGTATGAATCAACCCCTATTTATTTGTATGGGATACGGGGGTGTCCCTGGTTTTAGTCGGGATTTATCACTTTTGGAGGATCATCAACCGAAGCACAGGGCACATGGCCATCAACGGTGCGGAGATGGGCTACAACCGGCAGCTACAGAACCGGGAGATGAAATATGAAGAGGTGGGCCACGACGACTGTGCCTTGATTTCAACAAGATGGCCCGCAGCCCCACACCCACCCCACGTCCCGAGCTCCACTTGTCCTCCCCACCCTCTTTGCAACCCTCAAGCTTGTGAACCTGTGCGCCATCATACGTTGGGGTTGATAGGGACGAACATCTGCTTCTTTACACCTTGAAGTCAAGCAGCAGAGACGCTTTCTGCCTCACGGATATTTCTCTAGGCCCGTCTGCTGAGCCCTCTTTTTGTCCGGGCCGGCCTCCCACCTCCTGCTCGGCCGAGGCAATTCCATCCAGCATGGCTTCGCTCGAACCTTTTGCGATCTCCACTGCATTCGAGATGCCGTGAGGATGCTTGGTCGTTTCAACAGTGGCGCCGTTTTGTTGTTTTGGTTTGAACCCCTTTCAGGCAGGTTTCTGAAACAAAAGAGCAAGTGAATATCATATGTTTGTAGCAAACACCCAAACCGAGTGCCGAGCCCTGCCGAATTCCTGCCTTCAAAATGCTGTTGTAGGCAATCAACTTGCATTGCCTTAAGAGTGTGTACTTCCCCTGCTGGTTTTGAAGGGAACCTATCAATACTTGAAATATGTGTTTTTTTTCCCCAAGGGACTTAAGCGTGAGGTCCGATGGAGTCCACAGGATGAAATCCACTGCAAGCGTAACTGGGATCCATTGAAAGATGGACAGGGGCACGCCCTTGCGTGTGACGCTCTCGTGTTTGATGGGCATTCGTAGGATAGTGTTGGGGACACACGCAACCCAAGGTGCGAGCATTGTTCTTGTCCAAATTTGACTTCATAAAATCCCATGTTGAAGTCACATTTGCTCGGTGTTGCTCGTATACAATGGTTGTGGGGCGTTGAAATTACTGAGCAGGGCTTTTGGCAAATGGGTACAGCGTTCTACGTTTTCAGCCTTCCGGCCATGATAGCCTTGAGCTAACATTTGGTATGGAGTGATGCGTCAGATGGAATGCTTCTTTTCACCCAAGGAAGGGCAATGATGCCATTCTGCGGGCGATGGAAGAGGCTGTCGAGGTGATTGGCAAGAACACGCAGATTCTGTTGGAGCACTACGCGACTCACCAACATGTGTGCACATACACTACTGGCATTAGCTAAAGTCAAGTTGACCATTAGGTCACGCAGTTGCACTACTGGCATTAGCTAAAGTCAAGTTGACTATTAGGTCATGCAGTTGGTGTGGAACTGCCAAAGGGCGAGGGTGATAGTTTCAGGCATGGAACTGGGCGCCGTCCTCTTTGCTCTCCCAGGTCGGCGAAAGCTCCGGAAGCGGCCTACTGCAAGAAGGCAAGAAGATCCAAGAGGGCATTCAGCACCACGTGGCCGTGCCTGGCTCAGTGCGCCGGTTTTTTCAGCCCAGAAACACCCCTCCCTGGGCAAAACTGGAAGGCTTTGCGTCGGCTAGCCTTGTTGAGTCCCATTCCATGAGTTGTGGCTGTGAGATTCACGACGAACATGTTTCCCGAGTTCCCGGTATGTATTCCTCCTTTCGTTGGCTTTAAATGCAGATGCGTAAAGGGACAAAAAGAGGCACCCGTGCTCACAAAGCACCAACATCCTATGATTCGTGGTCATCCGAACATGGAGATCCAAGAAAGTCAAAAGCAGAAAATGATAGGAAGGCTAATCAGAAGTGTAGAGGCTGCAATCCACTGGACAGGCGGATAACCCTTGTAACCAAAAAGGAGGGTGTAGCAATGGTTTCGTGCAGGTCGGTGCTTTTTTTCATGTTTGGTATTTACCAGGAAGACAAAGAGACACCATCGGGGGCCCATTCCGATCTTGAGCAAGCATCCCCCTTTGCATGTCCAAAACAATGCCCCCTGCCCTCCCAACAAACATGAAGTTCACAGACTCCGTTCAATCCGAAAGTAGTCAACAAAAAGAAATTGCAAGGGCAGTGCCTCCTGTGTTTGCGGGTGGGGTTGGTTCTAAAGGGAAATCAAAAGGAACACCCCTCCCCCCTACCCCAACAAAAATGACTGGGTTTCCACCTCCAAAAAAAAGACGAGCGAGCCACCCGGTTGGATCAGGAGATGGCGGCGCTGGCCTCCTCTGCCCTGGAGCCCAAGGCGTCTCTGCTGGCACAGCGCGCCTTGAGCTCCTTCACCCAGCGCTGGGGCTCCGACCAAGGCCCGGGAACGGCGGATGGATGGAGTTGGGCCCGAGTGGGGCCCAGGAAGTGGGGGCCCGATTTGTTTGCGGTTGCGAAATCCATTTCGCACCACTTGGAAACCACGGTTGAAGTTGAAACCATAACGTTTGTTGGTATTTACAGGGGAATCATCATTATTCCACGGTCTCTGAACGGTGGTGCAGGATTTCGTCCACTCACAGTATGTTTCCTTGTCGGCTTTCTGGGCTGTTCAAAGGTAATCCGCAAGATCCTTACCTTCGGTTACGCAACGAGGTCCCTTTTGTGGCTTCCCGAAAAAGGGATTGTGGATTCGGATTGGCCAACACGTTTTGAACAGCCGCTTTGAGTTTGCGCTGCTTTGAGTTTGCGTATTTCTGAAAGGCGGGTTTCTTGGTGCTGAGCGCCCCTTCCTTTCAAGACCTCCGGGTTGAAGCGGGTTTTTGTGGATGGAGAGAATCCGCCGCTTTGAAACCATGACGACACCATGACGACATCATCATTCCAGGGTTTCTTTGGATTTTATCCATCCACAGTATGTTCCCCCTGTTTGGTGGTTTTACGCGACATCTTGTGGGCTTCATGAGTTTCCTAGGGTGAAGAATTACGGAGGTTTTGAGAGCGTATTAGTGAGAACTGATGTGAAGGCTTGCTTCTTGGTGCTGGGCTTTCCCCCGGTCCCCTGAAAAAAAGGCTTTACTCAAGGAGCCCCACAGACGACTTGCTTCTGCAGCTTTCCTGCGACGTGTGGTTTTCCAAAACTAGGCATCCTTTTCTGCCAATGTGAAAGGAAACCGAGGCAACTTCTTGAAGTGCCTAGTCTTGGCACTTGTCATGTGTGTCTCGTTCATCAGGCTTTCCGGACCAAAGCCTCGAACATGCTGAAGCCAAGCTTCGGCTCCAGCGCGCGCCAAGCGCGCAGATTTCAATGCCAAAGGTAACATACACCTGCGCCTTCCAAGCAGCGGTTTCTCATGGTTTCTTAGGTGGTGCGAAATGGATTTTGTCCATCCACAGTGTCAGTGATCAAGATCAGCCTTCTCTGAACGGAGTGTTCACGTGTTTTCAGGGATGAGCCTTGGGCCATGCCAAAATGGGCGTGTCTTTCTTCAGGGCACCCCCCAAAATCGTGGTGTTCCTCTTGGTGTCCCTTCAAAACCAACTTTGGTTCCCCCAAAACCGTGGCGTTCCTTTCGGGTTCCCTTCAAAACCCACCCCCAAAAAGGGGTACCGACTCCAAATGACGAGGCACCCGTCCCGGCCGGTGGCCCCGTGGCTCCTCGCCGCGCCAGGTGCCAACTCCAGCGGCCTGCTGCAAGAGGTGCGGGACCTGCACAGCACCATGGCCTTCTTGTCTCAGAGGCCAGGCTGGACGTGTCGCGGCAAAGCCCAGGGTTCAAGGCAGGTGGGCTTTACATATTATCCACATATCTGCGTATTGTATGCGTATAATATATCATATCTATATATACACGTATAGGTGTATATATATATATATGCGCCCCCCATGATCTCCCTTTGCATGTGTGTCATGTTGTGAATGAACATACTATACGGACAGGATTCTAGAAGACAATCCACGCTTCAATTAGAATTCAATTAGGACTTCATTGTTTAAACCAAGTTCAATTAGGTGTCAAACAGAATTATTATTTCAAGTTCTATTGAATATTATCTTATTTAAATTAAACTGAAGCTAGAAGTTCTACTAGACCTCTTTCCTTACTAAGTTCCAGTTGTTGTTCAATAAACAACTCTTGGGAAAGGAACAGCTTTTGGGGGAGAAAAAAAACGCATTTGGCACTTGTTTGACATCCTCTTCAACATGTAGGCCCTAGTTCATTGAAAACTCATGAAACAATCCTCGTGGGAAAGGACACCCCTTTAAGCTCTAGTTTGAATAGGACATGCTATCTAAATTCTAGTTAAACCTAGAAACTATCCTAGAGTTACTTCCTGTAAACTTGTATGTAAACTCTAATAAAAAGAAAAGATTGAGCAGATCATCCTGGGAAAGGGAATCGCCAACATAATTCTAGTAGAAGTTCTAGGCTCAATTCGATTTTCAGTATAGTTTTGTTTTTCAAAAACTTATGTCATTTAATGAGAATGTCTTATTTCAATTTGGACTGTAAAGGTGGTGACGTGTCATGTGCCAGAAGGATTTGTTCAATGATGAATTAGAATTCAAATAGAGTTTAGTACGGAAAGAATGCAAGCAGATTCTCTAGCTTCAGTCATAGATTGAATAGGCTCCGTTTTGCTAAGGATATATTCAATTAGATGTTGATTCTAATATAGAATTCTTATTTCATATGTGTATATATATATATATTTATTAAGTCTGCTTTCCATTTCCAGGAGACTCGTTGAGCAGAACTGAATCTGCCTGGAGAGTGCTTAGAGCTTCGGAGCATAAGGGGCCAACTTACGAAAGGGGTTGATTCCTTTTCCATTCGTTTCAGCCATGGTTCTTTTCAACCGATCGCTGTTTCCTTCAGGGTTTTTGGTGGTTTTCTAGAAAGATTCGGATCGGAAAGAATGGAATTGGAAGTTACCCCTAGAAGCTTGCAAGATATGCATCATGGCGCTCCCTGTAATCGTCTTGTCTTGTTGGGACCGTACAGCATCTTAGCGACTCGAGGCTGCAAAATGCAATAAGGTAGCAACAAAAAACATCCTTCAAAGCCCAAACAGCTCCAAAGTGCTGCAAGGTCCCCTCAAAATATATTATTATCTCGAGATTTGGAGCTTTTAGGCTGCCAAAAAGTTGGTTTTTGACTTCCTGTAAGGTCCCAAGACACAATCCCTTGAGACTTGAACCGATTGGTTTTTTTGGACCCATCATGTCAGTGTTTCCAGTTCTCAACATACTGTAAGGTCCCAAAAAGACCAATCCTTCAAGGCCCAAACAGCTCCAATAAGGCCAAAGTAAAACGCAAAGCCACCAATGGCTTGCGGCTTCACTTCAGCATTTTGAGGCCTGCAAGTCCCAAGACCTCTATGAGTCTCTGCAATGCCAGCTGAAAGCACAATCAAACTAACAACTCTCAAGCGTAGCTGCTTCCAAGTCAACCCGTTTGCAAACTCAAGTCTCACTGATTCCAAGTCTGGCCTACACCAGCGATCATCTTCCAAATGAATGCCAACACGTTTGCCAACGCTAGCCCTTGGCTTTCTGACTAGAATCTGGATTGTAAGCAGGCCAAACACCAGCGACGAGGTGTTTAGGAGAGCAAACCTGGCAATTCGCTCTAGATCATCTCCAAATAAGCAAATTGAAAGACTTCACGGAGCTTTAAATAAAAGGAGGAAAGCGATGGTTGGCCAAATTCAACGGCAGCCAGGCTCCATCCCCGTCAGGAACGTATGTTTTCGAATGGACACTGCCAAACCTTTGAGCTCCTCCATCGAAGGGGAGGCAGACCAAGAACCAGATGGGTAGATACAACCTGTCATCTATCTGGAATTATATTTGCACTAACCAAGACGAGTTCACACTCGGTGAAATTCAACTCGCTCACATACAAAATGCGGCTGCAACCAATGCTTATTGAAATGTGGACGTTGTATTCACTCTACCAGGTCAACGCTGGACCTCGATACCAAAGTGCTGCATACAAGACAGAGCTTGCTGCAACGCTTCTAGTTGGACAAGAACTCTGAGAGACGCCTGCTGGTAGGGGTGTCCCATTTTTTTCTCTCTCTCTTTTCTCTGCGCTGCCGTTGATATGGTTGTTCTTGCGACCATGCCTTTGGCACTGAACAAATAACCACAAATGCAATATTCAAATCGCATTCTGGAGCAGACAATGCCTGCACCAACATGCACTTGAGCACCGTATGTGGTTCCAAGGATGTGAAGTTAGATCATGGGGAGGGTGTCAATATATATATATATATATGTATATCTATCCATGTGCGCGTATAGTATATGCACTAGATACACCTGATTGCACATGTAGGACCCTTCGGATGCGTCCTACATACTCCGTAGGGATCAGTGTGGCTGCGCTCGCGGCCAAGTCCCCGAATTCGCTATTCGGCACCTGAGGCCTGATAAGAATTGTCCGTCCCTCCAGAGCTGCTCTAAAGTTAATTTGCGAATGCAACATGTGTTGAACGGATCATCTTCTGCCTATTTTTTATCGAGCTCACCTGGGATTATAGCGAGCTCAAGCCATGATTAAGGTCATTTAATTACCTGCGGATCCCTTAATTCAGGTTTTGGATTCATAGTAAAATGTGCAGATCTTCCTGGTAAATGGAATCAAGGACGAGAACCTGCGGACCCTGGGTGGCTTAATGTTGACGCATACCCACATGTGTTTGAATTAATCATCTTGATTTGCAATGTCACTCTTCTTAGCAAGTTGTTTTTGGTTCTGTTCATTTTTTACCGGGGGGCTGCAGAAACACAGTCAGTTTTTTGCAAGCCCATACCGTTTGGGTTGTGAAGATTTGTTTCGCTGTCAGCTTCGGCCAGGAAGCTCTCGCAAACAGAGGAAGTGCAGCAGAGAGCGTTGGAGATGGCAGGGCACATGGGCAAATTTTTGGAGGCGGGGCTTGGGTCTCTCTCTCTCTCTCTCTCCTCAGTCAGTGTGTGTGTGTGTGTGTGCGTGTTTGTTTCTGAGGGTACCCTAGTGTAGGTTGCCTTTCAAGGAACGCTAAAAGGAAGAACTGCAGTTTTGCAGGTTCAGATCCTGTTTTGAGACACACACACACACCCATGTGAACAGCCAAGAGCATTCACTTGGATTTCAGAAAGCGGTGGATGGTTTTGCAAAGGAGCAGCAATTGTTGGAGTAATGCTTATAGGCCCCCACTACTCATTTCATCTCAGTCCATTTGGGTCGATACTGTGCTGCCAGGTTTGTCTCAAATGCTTGATCGGCTACACATTGATAGAGGTAAGGAACAATTTCAAGAGACAGGCTGATTTCATGCGGCATGATTTCCCCCTTCTCGGACTTGCCTGTTCATTGCCAGAGTGAAGCGACACAGCACCCAAGCGACGCGGAAGGGGGTTGTGTTGGGTCACTCAGTGGCTGGAGGCGGCAGAACCCCCAAGGCTTGATCGGGGAACCCTCAAAATGGTCGTTCCCCTTTTAACACGCCCAACAGGTACCAACTCCAAAACAAAGACCCAATCACGTTTGGCTGCTTGGGTGCTTCTCCAGCCTGAGTTTGGACTGGCCTTTGCTTGAGGTCAAAGCCCACATGCTGGGTGTTTATCGCCAGCGAGCGCACGCTGGGAAGTTCATTCAGAGGCCAGCCAGCCCCGGGCATGGGGTATGGCGAAATAAAGTCTGGGTTTGGGGGGGGGATATGTGGATCTATACGGGAATCAACCCTGGGCATTCGGTATGGCGAAGTAAAGTCTGGGCTTAGGGGGGATACGGGGGGTCGATACGAAAATCAGACGTCTGAAATAAAGGGTTAAAGAAGCTTGGGGCACATAGTGGTGAAAAACCGTCCAACCGGATCCTGTGCAAGTTCACAAGTTAAGGCTTTTGTGTGCTTTCAGCTAAGGTGGCTGAGGACCAATTTCCGGCAGGTGACGGCCTCTGATGTTCTGTCCGAGATGGAGGAACAGGCTGCCGAGCACGCGATGGAGGAGTTTGACACCATGTGGTGGGAAATCCGTCAGGAGCTCGACACCTACCTGCAGGCTTCGCAAGACTACGTGGATGCAACCAATAGCGCAGTGCAAATGCTTCACAGCTACACCTCAGAATGCCAAGCAGGCTTCTCCGCGCTCAAGCAATCCTATGCGCTGTCAGCTCGTGCGGAGAAGAAGGCCCATGAAGCGCTCAAGAAGACATGGTCAACAGTTTCTGTGCGAATGGGCGCAATGGCATCAAAGGTGATGGACGGCGGTTTGTTGGAACGCCTGGCAACGCACGACATTCAACATATCGATGTTGGGTCCTTGATGGCTTCACACCACCAGCCTTGTTCCTCAGATGCCCTTAGCGTGGTCGAGACAGCCGTCAAGGTTGCCATGAAGAAGGGAGTCTTCGGGCAAACCTACTGGCAGCTCAAGGAACCCCACATTTGCAGCAACTGTGTGTTTCTGTCCATTTTGTTTCCTACAATGTTACAAACAACAAAGGGATGCATATTGGAAGTTTGTCAAAAAGTGGGACCCACTATGGCTGGCGGCATTCTTTTGGTTTCCCTTTAACGACCGCCCCAAAAGGAGGTACAAACTCCAACAAAATACTCTATATGTTTCCCATCGCAAGGAGCTGCTTGAGGAGATGGCTATGCTTCAGCAGCGGTTTGCCGTTCATGGCCAAAACGCCCCCGACGCGAGCACCTTAACCGAAGCCGCTGCGCGGTTCACACAGGCGACGAAACAGACCACGTCGGCAAGGGAGCGCTTGGCGCGAAAGATGCATTGCCAGACTTAGCTTACTCTTTCGATGTGTCGTTTTTTGGACACCAATATCATTTTTGCCCCGAAAGACACCCATTTCGCCTTCTTGGTTGCATGTTCCCTTCACGGTGATTTTTCAGGCGTCGTTTGGCCCAGGATGCTGGCACATTGGCAGCAAGGCGCATGTTAGTCGAGTTGTGGCTAATGCCTGGCTCTGAAGTTTTAGAGGAAACCACAATATTGGTTCGCGGACAAATCTTATGTAGATCATGTCCGCCAAACAATATGTTGAAATTCATACCCACTTGATTCTACAAATTATTTTTGCCTACTCATCCTACATTATGACAATGTCTATTTTTCTCGGGCATGTCGCTGGCACATTCAAGGCGCATGTTAATGAAGTTTCGGCCAGTGCCGGGCTCTGTATTTTGGCAGGGAATGTTTGGTGGTATCTGATATGCACCAAAGAAGGCCCTCAGTTCATACCCATTCTGTCAAGACAATCGACGGAATAACATGATATGCAAATTACTGCATTCTGCACTTTGCTTGATTTGCCGGTACAGCCGACGAAGCCGGTTAACCGCAAAAGAACGTAGTTGTTTTCATCTCTTTCTTTTTTATTGTTGCTTTTTTGTTTGCTCTCTTGTTTCTATGATCTTTATCGTTGTCTTTGCATTTACTTTTATAGTTATCTTGTTTGTCTTTTTCCTTCAGTTGCTCTTTGTCTTTATACGTCTCTATATTTTTCTGTTTCTCTTTATCTATCTCCTACTGTTTTTTTGTCGTTTGCATTATCTTCTCTTTCCCTGTCTATCTGTCTATCCACCTACCTACCTATGTGTCTTCCATGTGTCTATCTATTTTGCAGTGTATGTAGCTAGCTATCGATCTATCCATGTATCTTGCGATTTTTGTTTCCATCCATGCACCCATCCATCTATCTATGTATCAATCTAATCTAATCTAATCTAATCTAATCTAATCTAATCTAATCTAATCTAATCTAATCTAATCTAATCAATCTAATCTAATCTGTGTGTCTATCTATCTGCCTGTCTGTCTGTCTATCTAGCTATTTATGTATCTATCTATTCTATCTAATCCAATCTATCTAATCTACCTACCTACCTACCTACCTATCTATCTATCTATCTATCTATCTATCTATCCATCTTATATCTATTCACTGCCCCTTTATTTATCCATATGTCTGTTTTAATGTCCATCTATTGATTTATCTATGTACCCATTAGTATCTAGTTACTTATATATCAAATTTACGAACATTTTGCGAACATATGGTGGCTTGGATTTGCTAATCGCAGCTATTTGGGGGGTGGGGTGGCTGAGTGGTTAAGTGGTTAGGAGGTTAGAATGACTAGAAGGTGGTGGTTAGCGGGCCAGAGCGGTTAGGGAAAGTGGTTGATTGGCCGGGGGGTAGAGTGGCTGAGTGTAAGGGGGTGAGAGTAATTAGGGGATTAGAGTGATTGAGTGGATATTAGAGGAAGAAGATATGGGTTTCTCGTTGGAAAGAGAATATAGTGGATTGAGGAGTGGAGAAGAAATATATTATTAATTGGTTATATTAATTTATCAAGTTAGGGTTTATAGATTTATTAAATTGGTATATATATATATATATATTTATTAAGAGGATATCTCCAATAACATGCGGTGTTCTTCTTAATATTTTGGATTTATAGATATTTATGGAATTTTGGGCAAACACTATTGGAATTGATAGAAATTTTATGGATTCTTATCTTAGGGCCGCATTAAATTATTTTTGGATTTTATTTGGGTTTAGGTCCCATTTTTTTTAGTTGTTGGGGGAAAAAATGGGAGGTAGGAAATAAAAAGAATGAATTTTAGAGAGTGTAAGATTGTTTTTGAGATTTTATTTTATATAGAAATAAATAATTATAAGGTGAATAGTATTTAAAATAGATTGAAAAGAATTATTATTATATTTACAATTTAGATATTATTTTTTTAAGATATATATTTTATATTAATTGTAAATCGGAATATTTAATAAATAGGTTTTAATTTAATTGAATTTAAGATTTTGGTTTAGAATTAATTGAATTTGTAATGATATTTAAAAATTATATAATTTTTGAATTATGATATTCTTAAAATAAAATTTTATTTTTAATTAATTTTAAATTCGTGATGTTGTTATAATTATTTTATTTGATTTGGATTTTTAATAATTTAATAATATTATTTTATATATATATTATTTAAATTGTATTAAGATATTTGTGTTAAATAGATATTTTGGTTGGATATATTTTGAATTATAATGAAAAAAATAAATTTTGTATGACCAAAATTAATGAACCATTTAGAGATATGGAAATACTATTCATTGAAGATAATTTTAGGTTATTGTTTAATTAGAATTATAATTTCTATTTGAATATAAAAAACCGAATTGATAATAAAATGAATTGTTATTTTTGGAATTATTAATTATGTATTGATTTTGATAATAATGATTTAGATTGTAATAAATATAGAAATATATATTTATAGATTTTGTTTTTGGATTTATTTTTATTGGTTTTCGACGAATATATATATATATATATAATATTTGGTTTTTTGTTCAATTCCTATTTTTGTTTTCGATAGGTCTTCGATATTTTTATGGAATGGATTTTATTATTTAAGAATCCCAAAAATAAATAATGAAAGATTAACATTTTTTAATTAAATATTATGTGCTACGGACATAATACTTGTAATTGATTGATTCCCGGCCCGGAAATATATTGCTGCCGGAATCTTTAATATCGCATGAAACATATATGCTGCAGCCTGTCGCCTTTTACAGGTCAGCAAGCTATACAGATTTCATCTGCCGTCTATTTGAACCCCTTCAATTCATTTCCTACATGGAGGCCAAAATAGCCCAAATTCATAATCAACCCATAACCATTTTAATATCTATTAAAATAAATTATAATCAAATATATTTTATTTATATATTTAATGTATTTTTAATATATAATCAAAAATATATCTATAATTTAATAGATATATGGTTTAAATAAATAATATTCAAACACTATAAATATTATAATTATATATAAAATAAAGATCAAATTAATAATTTAATATAATAATATAATTAAGAATTATGATTTATTCATCAACCTTACATTAATAATTTTCAATCTTCAAAAAATAATATATCAAATAATTTTAGAATCTAAAATGGCTTTTAAAAATACATTCGTAATCTTATTAATAAATCGATTTATTTTAAAATTCATCATTAAATCGATATATTTATATATATTTGAATTAAATCTCAAAAATCATTAATATTAATATCAATTATAATTTATATATTTAATTTCAATTTATCCAATTATAAATCAAACAATATCATATTAATAAGCAAATATTATATAAGTATATATCATTTATCAAATTAACCATATATTTAATTTAATATTTGAAATATTCATTTTATAAATATAATATTTAAATATATTCTATTTACATCGTATATAAATTATATATATATTATTTAAATTATATACTTAATTTATATTCTATTCATTATTTTTTTTTTTATTTTTTATTTTTTATAATTCATAAATATATATAATTTCGATATTAATCGGTATGTCCAATAAAAATAAAAAAACACACATAATATAACATGAGTAATCAAGTAAATACATTTTAAAGATGAATACTATTTAAAATAGATTAAACATATTTATTATATTTATAGTTTAGATTATGTTTTTAAAATCTATATTTTATATTAATTATAAATGGGAATATTTAATAAATAAATTTTAATTCAATTAAATTTAATATTTTATTTAATTTTCAATTAATTAAATTTAATAATATTTAAAAATTATATAATTGTATAATATTATTTTAATATTATTTTGGAAAATTATTATTATTATATTTAAAATTAACAAAATATTTAAAGATATAAAAATATTATTCATTAACGATATTTTTTAAGTTTTTTGTTTAATCAAAATTATTTTTTTTTATTAGAATATAATAAAATAATTTAATAATCAAATTATAGTTTTTTAAATTTAATAATTATATATTGTTCTTAATAATAATGATTTAATGTATTTAAATATATAATAATAAATATATTATTATTTTTTGTATTTCCTATCTCCCAATTTATTTTCTCCCCCAACAATTAAAACCTTTGAGACCTAAAATCAAATAACATCCAAGAACAATTTAATATAATCCTAAGATAAGAATTCATAAAATTGCCATCAATTCCAATAAGTTTTTGCCAAAATCCCATAAATATCTATAAAGCCAAATATTAACAAGATTATCGCATATTAATAGAGATATCCTCTTAATAAATATATATATATAAACCAATTTAATAAATCTATAAATCCTAATTTAACAAACTAATACAACCAATTAATAATATATTTCTTCTCCACTCCTCAATCCACTATATCCGAAAAACCCATATCTTCTTCCTCTCATATCCACTCAATCACTCTAATCCCCTAATTACTCTCACCCCCTTACACTCAGCCACTCTACCCCCCGGCCAATCAACCACTTTCCCTAACCGCTCTGGCCCGCTAACCACCACCTTCTAGTCATTCTAACCTCCTAATCACTTAACCACTCAGCCACCTCACCCCCCAACCATTCCAACCCCAAACCCCCGCCCCCCAACCACTCAACCACTCAACCTAATCCCCTAGCCACTCTAACCCAAGCCACTCAACCACTTTGCCTCTACCCCCCCAGCCAAACTTCTAACCGCGTAGCTGCGATTAGCAAATCCAAGCCACCATATGTTCGCAAAATGCTCGTAAATTTGATATATAAGTAACTAGATGCTAATGGGTACATAGATAAATCAATAGATGGACATTAAACAAAGGGGCAGTGAATAGATATAAGATGGATAGATAGATAGATAGATAGACAGACAGACAGACAGACAGATAGCTAGATAGATAGATAGGTAGATTAGATAGATTGGATTAGATAGAATAGATAGATACATAAATAGCTAGATAGACAGACAGACAGGCAGATAGATAGACACACAGATTAGATTAGATTAGATTAGATTGATACATAGATAGATGGATGGGTGCATGGATGGAAACAAAAATAGCAAGATACATGGATAGATTGATAGCTAGCTACATACACTGCTAAATAGATAGACACATAGAAGACACATAGGTAGGTAGGTGGATAGACAGATAGACAGGGAAAGAGAAGATAATGCAAACGACAAAAAAACAGTAGGAGATAGATAAAGAGAAACAGAAAAATATAGAGACGTATAAAGACAAACAGCAAATGAAGGAAAAAGACAAACAAGATAACTATAAAAGTAAATACAAAGACACCGATAAAGATCATAGAAACAAGAGAGCAAACAAAAAAGCAACAATAAAAAAGAAAGAGATGAAGACAACTACGTTCTTTTGCGGTTAACCGGCTTCGTCGGCTGTACCGGCAAATCAAGCAAAGCGCAGAATGCAGTAATTTGCATATCATGTTATTCCGTCGATTGTCTTGACAGAATGGGTATGAATTGAGGGCCTTCTTTGGTGCATATCAGATACCACCAAACATTCCCTGCCAAAATACAGAGCCCGGCACTGGCCGAAACTTCATTAACATGCGCCTTGAATGTGCCAGCGACATGCCCGAGAAAAATAGACATTGTCATAATGTAGGATGAGTAGGCAAAACAAAAATTGGTAGAATCAAGTGGGTATGAATTTCAACATATTTTTTGGCGGACATGATCTACATAAGATTTGTCCGCGAACCAATATTGTGGTTTCCTCTAAAACTTCAGAGCCAGGCATTAGCCACAACTCGACTAACATGCGCCTTGCTGCCAATGTGCCAGCATCCTGGGCCAAACGACGCCTGAAAAATCACCGTGAAGGGAACATGCAACCAAGAAGGCGAAATGGGTGTCTTTCGGGGCAAAAATGATATTGGTGTCCAAAAAACGACACATCGAAAGAGTAAGCTAAGTCTGGCAATGCATCTTTCGCGCCAAGCGCTCCCTTGCCGACGTGGTCTGTTTCCTCGCCTGTGTGAACCGCGCAGCGGCCTCGGTTAAGGTGCTCGCGTCGGGGGCGTTTTGGCCATGAACGGCAAACCGCTGCTGAAGCATAGCCATCTCCTCAAGCAGCTCCTTGCGATGGGAAACATATAGAGTATTTTGTTGGAGTTTGTACCTCCTTTTGGGGCGGTCGTTAAAGGGAAACCAAAAGAATGTTGCCAGCCATAGTGGGTCCCACTTTTTGACAAACTTCCAATATGCATCCCAGGAAACAACATGGACAGAAACACACAGTTGCTGCACATGTGGGGTTCCTTGAGCTGCCAGTAGGTTTGCCCGAAGACTCCCTTCTTCATGGCAACCTTGACGGCTGTCTCGACCACGCCAAGGGCATCTGAGGAACAAGGCTGGTGGTGTGAAGCCATCAAGGACCCGACATCGATATGTTGAATGTCGTGTGTTGCCAGACGTTCCAACAAAGCGCCGTCCATCACCTTCGATGCCATTGCGCCCATTCGCACAGAAACTGTTGACCATGTCTTCTTGAGCGCTTCATGGGCCTTCTTCTCCGCACGAGCTGACAGTGCATAGGATTGCTTGAGCGCGGAGAAGCCTGCTTGGCATTCCGAGGTGTAGCTGTGAAGCATTTGGACTGCGCTATTGGTTGCATCCACGTAGTCTTGCGAAGCCTGCAGGTAGGTGTCGAGCTCCTGACGGATTTCCCACCACATGGTGTCAAACTCCTCCATCGCGCGCTCGGCAGCCTGCTCCTCCATCTCGGACAGAACATCAGAGGCAGTCACCTGCCGGAAATTGGTCCTCAGCCACCTTAGCTGAGACCCCGCAACACGCGTAACTTGTGAACTTGCACAGGATATGTTCTTCTTTAACCCTTTAGAAGGCTTTTCAGACGTCTGTTTCTTTTACCATTAGACCCCCACGTCCCTCATTTCCTCCCCACGCCCAGGCGTATTGTGCCAAAGCCTGGCCTCTGAATGAACTTCCCAGCGTGTGCTCGCTGGCGATAAACACCCAGCATGTGGGCTTTGACCTCAAGCAAAAGCCAGTCCAAACTCAGGCTGGAGAAGCACTCAGTCAGCGAAAAATTGTGATTGTGTCTTTGCTTTGGAGTTGGCACCCTTTTTGGGTGTGTTAAAAGGGAAACGAAAAGGACACCAACCATTTTGGAGGCCCCGATTTTGAGATGTTAGATCTTTTCAAAGTGGCCAGCAACAGGGCAGGCATTGCGCCTCTCGCACTTTGATGGTTCCGCTGAGCTTGTGTGATGTCTCTTCGGCAATGACCATGTCGAAGGCACAAACAGACATTCTGTCATCGTTCATGCGTGAATGGGTCTTGTATCAGTGACTTGTTTTCCACACCGAAAGAGGATGCTGCCGCATGAAATCCTCCTGTGTCTTGGGTTGTTCTTTACCTCTACCAATGTGTAGCCCATCAAGCATTTGAGCGAAAACTCAAAACAAATGGGAAGTGTTGCTCCAACAACAGCTGCCGCCTTTACCAAACCCCTCCGCTTGTCGGATATGTGGCGATTTTCCATTCAGCGTCCCCTTAAACCAACCTCGAAGGGTCAAACAACAAAGACCCAAGTCCCGCCTCCAAAAAACTGCCCATGTGCGATGCCATCTCCAAAGCTCTCTGCTGCACTTCCTCTGTTTGCGAGATCTTCCTGGCCAAAGAGGCTTCTGACAACCCCGAGACAAATTGCAAATCGAGATGATCCATTCAAGACATGTTGCATTCGCTACATAATCCATTTATAACATGCTGCATTCACCAATGAACTTCAGCATAGGTCTACAGGGACGGATAACTCTTTCTCGGGGCTGGGATACTGAACAGCAATTTCGGGGCAAAAGGCCTTTGCCTCAACGTTCTACGAAAAAACCAACAACAAAAGCTGGAGCGGCTGATCTCTAGCGGACAGCTTGGTCAAGTCGTCACTCCCAAGGAAGGAGTCCTACACACACGTGCACCTACGTACACATATCCATATATATATGGTACACGTGCATGGATGTATACATTGCGCACCTGTATGAGGATAGTACATGTGTATACGTGTATATATATATATATACACATACACGTACATGTGCTGATTTACATCTATTTATATATCCACATGCACATATTAGATGTATAGTATAGTATATATGTATATATACATATGGCTATATATATATATATATACATATAATATGTGGCTACGTGTAAAGCCTACCCCTGGCTTTAGCAACATCTCAGCCCCACGGCCTCTGCGACAACAAGGTCAGGGTGCTGTGCAGGTCGCGCACCTCTTGCAGCAAGCCGCTGGAATTGGAGCCTGCGAGGCATTGGCCAACTTCCCCATGGCCCAAAGCTCCCTGAAAACCCGAAAGCTCCGTTTCAGAAGCCTGGCCTTGATCATTGACACTGCGCGCGCTGAGTTGCCGTGCCGTTCGGGGAAGGCTGAGAATCTGCGCGCGTGCGCAAAATCGTGGCGGTTTGACGACGTTGGCGCAGTTGCGCGTTTTCGCATCGCCGTGCAAATGTGACTTGCGTCTCAGCGGTCAGTTTGAGGTGTGCTTCTGCCGCGTGCAAGCGTTGCTTCCCCTTAGCAGAAAGCTTGGTCGCAGGACTCTGCCAGGCGTCCGTGGGCTGGCGCAAAGCTTCAGTCTTCAGTCTTCAGGGGACCGGAGGGGAGAGCTCAGCACCAAGAAATCCGCCGTTCAGAAATACGCGCTCAAAGCTCCGTACACCTTCATCATAGGAAACTCATCAAAGCCCACAAAATGTCGCCTAAAACCACCAAAGGGAACATACTGTGGATGGATAAAATCTTGCACCACCACAGAAATCCTGGGATGATGATTCCCCAATGCCAACAATCGCATGGTGTTCTCATGGGTTCAAAGCGGTGACGGGTTTCGTCCATCCGCAGGAACCCACTTCCACAACTCCCCGAGTGCTCGTTGCGTAACCGAAATTACGGATTAAGGATGACCTTTGAACAGCCCAGAAAGCCGACAACGAAAACATCGGGGCCCCACTTCCTGAGCCCAACTCCCCGGGTCTTCGGGGAGGGCAACTCCATCCGGCCGGCCTTCTCCCCAGCGCTGGGCGAAGGAGCTCAAGGCGCGCTGTGCCAGCAGAGACGCCTTGGGCTCCAGGGCAGAGGAGGCCAGCTCCGCGAGCTCCTGACCCGGGCGGCTCGGACTTTTGGATTTTTGGAGGGGGTGTCTGCTTTTTTTGGGGGGGAGGGGGTGTTCCTGTTGACTTCCCTTTAGAACCAACCAAAAGGAGGCCCCCACCCCACAAAACACAGAACACAGAAGACACTGCCCTTGCAATTGATCAGCCAACAAACATGGTAGACTTCTTTCTGTTGACTACTTTCGGTTTGAACGGGGACTGTGAACTTCCATTTCTGTTGGGAGGGCAGGGGGTTGGGACATTGTTCTTGACATGCAAAGGGGGGGATGAAAAAGGTGTTGCTCAAAATCGGAATGGGGCCGCGATGGTGTCTCTTTGTCTTCCTTGTAAATACCAAGCATGAAAAAAGAAACACCAACCTGCACAGAACCATTGCTGCAGCCTCCTTTTGGTTACAAGGGTTGTCCAGTGGATTGCAGTCTCTACACTTCTGATTAGCCTTCCTATCATTTTCTGCTTTTGACTTTCTTGGATCTCCAAATTCGGATGACCACGAATCAACTCGGGGCACGGGTTCCTGTTTTTGTCCCTTGCTGCATTTAAAGCCACCGAAAGGGGGAATGCATACAAAGGGAAACATGCACCCTGAATCTCGCAGCCACAACTCATGGAGTGGGACTCAACAAACTAACCAAACAACGAAGGGATGTAGCACTTGACTAGCCGACGCAAAACCTTCCAGTTTTGCCCAGGGGGTGTTTCTGGGCTGCAAAAACCCGCGCGCGCTGAGTCAGGCACGGCCACGTGGTGCTGAATGCCCTCTTGGATCTTCTTGCCTTCTTGCAGTAGGCCGCTTCCGGAGCTTTCGCCGACCTGAGAGAGTAAAGGGGCCGGCGCCCATTTCCATGTCTCAACTCGGCTCCACTTGTCCTTTGCCTCTTCCACACCAACTGCATAACCCAATGGTCAATTTGACCTTAGCTAATGCCTGTAGTGTATGTGCGGACATGTTGGTGAGCCGCGTAGTGCTCCAACAGAATCTGCGTGTTCTTGCCAATGACCTCGACAGCCTCTTCCATCGCCCGCAGAATGGCATCATTGCCCTTCCTTGGGTGAAAAGAAACATTCCATCTGACGCCGCATCACTCCATTCCAAATGTTCGCTCAAGGCTATCATGGCCGGAAGGCTGAAATGCTGTACCAATTTACCAAAGGCCTTGCTAGCATGGAGAAAAGTAAGCCGTGATGAAATGGCCGAGGCAAAAGCTCAGTAATTACAACGCCCCACCACCATTCAAATCTTGGTTGTATACGGGCAAAACCGATAAAACGTGACTTTAACATGGGAGCTTATGAAGTCAAACTTGGACAAGAACAATGCTCGCACCTTGGGTTGCGTATATTCCCAACAATATCTTACGAATGCCCATCAAACACGAGCGTCACACGCAAGGGCGTGCCCCTGTCCATCTTTTAATGGATCCCAGTTGCGCTTGCAGGGGAATTCATCCTGTCAACCCCATCGGACATCACGTCTCCCTTGAGCTCAAGTTGCTTGGGACACAACATATTTCAAGTATTGATAGGTGTCCCTTCAAAACCAGCGAGGGAAAAACACATTGTTCTACAAACATATGATATCCACTTGTTCTTGTTGTTTCAGAAACCTGCCTGAAAGGGGTTCAAACCAAAACAACAAAACGCCACTGTCGAAACGACCAAGCATCCTCACGGCATCTCGAATGCAGTGGAGATCGCAAAAGGTTCGAGCGAAGCCATGCTGGATGGAGTTGCCTCGGCCGAGCGGGAGGCGGGAGGCCGGCCGGACAAAAAGAGGGCTCAGCTGCAGAACCTAGATAACCCTCCGTATGCCAAGGCCAGCTCCAATGGCATAGCATTATACGAAGCCTTACAAGGGCGTCGTAGAAACGGTGTTACTGTTAAGGAGTTTTATAATGAGCTCTATAAGGAGCCTTATGAGGAGCTTTAAAAGGAGCTGTACCCAGGTTACACGCTGCCTTCACCATCCGTGGCAGATGTCACTGCCCTTCCGTCCCAGACTGCGCGAGCAAACTGGGCATCACTGACACTGAGGCTTGTAACAGCACAGTGAACACGACGGAGTCAGCAGGCTTGCTTTGCCTGTAGTCAATCTTGGCATACTTATTGTTCCACAGGCGAAGGATGACAGCTGCACACAAGACCACAGGACATTTCTGCAACACGATCGCTCGTAGGCCTCCGTTCATCTCGGAAGATGCGCTGCCTGGATTGCTTCAACCTCTATCAGGTCAACCGATCACTGCGGTGAGGAGCACAGGCTCTTCAGATGTGTAACACATTGCGCGGAACTTCCACAGCTGGTCGATCAGGCTGGTTGCTGAATGTTGTTGCAAGTTTCTTCCTCCTACCTTGCCAGCTTGCGCTCTCTGGCTGATCTGGTGCTGCAACGGCTGCGGCTTGCTGTGCACCAAGTTGAGGGCTGCCCACTGGCTGGATGATTTGCGAGCCGCATCCACCAAGCCTGCTTGGCTCTCTCATCAGCACGGTCTATGAATTCTCCATTCTCATGCAGCACCACGCCTTGCGGGCAAGAGCCATCTTGCATGCCTTGCAGCCTTGTGCGTCTGGCATCCGGGCTGCCTGCTTACAGGGCGCTCGCGATTTGGGTGTCAACCTCGCACCTTTGCCATTGATGCGGCACGCAGCTGCGATCTGTTGTAGTTCGGGGTCCGCAGCGTCTCATACCTGGCGCCCTCAGCCAGCACTGCCAAGAGGAAACCCAACTCGCCTTGCTGGCCACCCCTCGATGGCGGAGCCATTCAACATATTATATACTTGCCGGAGCTTCTTCCTCAACCTTCATGATGCAACCCTGCCGGAACCCAAACAGTGTCGAGATTTTCCAGGCACACTCTAACTGCACCACTTGACACTAAACTGCCATTCGGGGCAAAACACTCAGCTACGCTCGCTATTCACCAACAGCGACGGCGCTACACTGGCGGCCCCCAACCATCAAACTGTCAGGCTAGAGCCCCAAGGCGCTGCGCAACTGATTGGCCCACGAATGGAGAGCCGTCGGGACTGGCCGACACTTGCCCATTGCCCGTAGGCCAGCACAGCACATGACTGCTGTGTGGATGGTTTGCAAGGTCTGAGAGGGCCATGTGCTCCCACAAAACTGCTTGCATCATCTTGCATCCTGCGAAACCTTGCGGCCAGCAACCCTATCCAGCCATGGGCAAACAAGCCATGGGCGGGCAGACCTCAAAGCTTAGCGTCCACCGCCAGCCCTCTGGTAGGTCTTTGAGTCAGTGGCTTCTTACTGCTTATGTGGGCCATGGTCATGGTTGGTAGGAACCCTTACAATCGTTGTCTAAGTATTGAGGGGTTGATCTTCGCCCCTAGCAACCCCAACAGGGGCGTTTGACAACGGCGCAGATGTTCACAAGGTTGAGGGTCGCAACGAGGGTGGGGAGGGCAGGTGGAGCTTGGGACGTGGGGTGGGTGTGGGGCTGCGGGCCATCTTGTTGAAATCAAGGCACAGTCGTCGTGGCCCACCTCTTCATATTTCATCTCCCGGTTCTGTAGCTGCTGGTTGAGGCCCATCTCCGCCCCGTTGATGGCCATGTGCCCTGTGCTTCGGTTGATGATCCTCCAAAAGTGATAAATCCCCACTAAAACCAGGGACACCCCCATATCCCATACAAATACATAGGGGGATTATTACCGGGTCAGCAATATGGAACCGCTTCTACAACACACACATTTCTGAAGTCTCCCAATCGTGTCCTCAATGACGCCGCTAAACCAAGCGCAACAAAGCTACAAGCCACTTGCCAACAGGGAAGAACTACAAGCATTTGTCTCCCATGGGCCTGCGTGCCAGGAAAAGTAAATATGATGCAAACCCTTGTGAGCGAGCGCGGTACACACAGATCACAGATGCAAGAGCAACAAACAGCATGTCTGGCATCTCAATTGAAAGAACGATGCAGGCCGTGTTCCCTTGTGGATGGTCGGGGAGGGCCAGCGGAAGCTTGGGCCAGTTCATATCTATACAATTTACAGGACTGGTTGGACCAAAGCAAGACATCGTGCAAACAAACCAGCAGAGAACGCGGGAAGAGAGGGAGACCCATTAGCTCAAGCTTGGGCCTTTTGGAGTGTGCAACCTTGCAGGCCGGCAGTCCAAGGACCAAGCCGGATTCCCGAAGGTCAGATGTCAGATGGCTGGAGTGGAATAACTCAGCAACATCACGCATACACCTTCAAAGGCCCAAGCCTTCCCCCCGATTCCCATTGGAACGACCCACTGCGCGGCTCTCTGAAGGCGAAACCTAGATTGGTGCAGCTCATGTCGTTGCCTAATTGACACCATCCAGCCAATAAGAAGCTTGGCAGCTTGGCACGAGAATGCGCGCGAAAAAAATCACATGACTGCAAATGACGTGGACCCTGACAATGAGCTCCGGGCTTCCAGACTTCCCCAACCCCCTGCGCCTATCAAATAAATCAGCGCGCCAGGGTGGAACTCGAAGCCGGCTCCCAAGGGCGCAGCCTCCGCGGCAGGGAAGACGTCGCCGATTCCTGACGCGCGTGCGCGCTGAGTGAAAGGAGTAAAAATCTTAGCTGAGTTGTCACTGGGTGCTTGGGCCAATTGGACAAAACCATTTGCAGTCTCAAACTGACAGACTGTGAAAGTACAACACTGCCCCATGTTTGCGCGGGCTTCGGCGCAGTCCCTGCCCTTTAAGTTGCAACTGGCGCGCACACACACACACGTGCACTCACAGTGTTGGTTCTGAAGTTATGCCAGGCATAAGAAACGCGGCCAACCATGGAAGGCGCGATAAAGCACACAGACGACGCAGAAAGCTCAGATTTAATACGTATTGGAATACAAGCATTTCACAAGCCTGGGAAGCATCCCGGCTTCTGCATCGAAAGGCAGACTACGCTGTCATTGAAGCACTACTTTGTGTTATGTTTATTGGGTTGTGCCACAATTGTGTGACCGCTTTTGCACATGCTACATCAAGCACATGCCACAAGCAAAACCCATGCTGTTGCTTTGTAATGTAAGGGGCCGGCAAAGTTACTACTGACCATACTTGTTGTCCGCCGACAACAGACGGCGTGTTGGACATAAGAAATGCTCCTTACCTCTTACCCCTCCCCTTACCCCTCCCCAAGGGCACCATTTCAGACTATTGCGGGGGGGGGGCGGGGTGAGGCCCACTGCCCCAGGTGCCTATCCAGAAGGGAACTGGTACCCTGTGGTAGTAGAGGTCGTTGATTTGGTCCCTGGATCTATTCCGAAGAGAATCCAATATGCCACTGTGGATGATTGGAGGATGGATTGTGCCTGGTGGATTGTCTTGTGGATAATCCTGTAAGCGGCCTGCTAAGGTTCTTTTGCTTCGCGCGATCATGAATGATGCAATGTTACACAAAAGGGGCCTTGAGCCACATTTTGCAGGAGATCAAGTGTTCAGTAAACCAAACACAAAACAGACACAAATTTCTTTTGATCTCCAGCACTAAGTATGAAGTACTATTGGCTTCATGGCCTTTGGCCGTAGCCTTGATGTATGCCGTAGCCATGCTGTATGCCGTAGCCATGTGTATTAGAAATGCCGGATTCATCCTCTTTTCTGCTCGGATGTAATGTCTTGAACTTTCGAAATGGAAAACACTATGTACTGCTTCTTTTTGAGATACCTAGATGTATCAAAGGGTGATGTACAACGCTATGTACACGCGGGACGATTGTGAACCTATTGATCTCTCACTCATTGTATAGTCTTGTAGACGGCGAGGATCAATCATCTGAATTGAGTTCGTGGCGCTGAACGTATGAATCTTCATGGTCAGTCGGATCGACGATACCATCGGCGGCTGCTGTCGGATTGACTGCCATAGTCTACATAATCATTCCAGGTCGAGGTGCTATAGTCCTTCCACTGCTTCTGATGTCCCCACTGCTTGTTGTAGTCCTTGTACTCCTGCGGGGTCCAGGCTTGTTTCTTCTTGATGTACTCCCGGTATCTCTCAGAGTTGCGTTGCCTGGTTGCAGATTTGCTGCGGATGTAAACCATGAGGGGACTGTGAAAGTCGGAGTCCTGCGAGCCATTCATGAACATGTCATTGTTCACGTGCTTAAAGCGCTCTGCGGATGAGACCTGATAATCGAATATGGCCTTGGTTGGATCGTTCCGCATGAGTTCCAGTTGTTCATCATCCATGCCGTTCATCTCGTCCTTCCGGAAAGCCTGCTGGATGTTCTTTTTGCCCCATCCAAACACGAAAATCATCATCACATCTGGGAATGTTCGATCATATCCTGATCCACACTTCATGTACAGGTGATGACGGGCAATGGATTTCAGGGTGCACGAAGTCTCCATTGCATACTCCATTCTGTCCACGAGTGGCAAATCTTTCGTTTCATTCCACAGTCTCTGATATGCTCTCATGAGGATGTTCACGAGACCGTTGGCCGGATTGAAGACGAGCTGGAGTTTGCTGTAGGTGTTCGCTGATTTGTTGGCGTCTCCGGTGATCGCATCGCATCGGTACAATGTCACGAGCGGCATGATTTCATTCTGAAGATCTTCCCGTGCTGCTCCATGGCTGTTTGAAGGATGAATGTGGAAAACTCCAATGGTAGCGAATGGGAAATCTGCCCTCGTTATGTGGCGGTCGTCATACTCGTGGAGTGACTTGTTGGATGATTTCGGGATCATGCCACGAAACTCATCACTCTGCTCGATATGGAGAACGACGATCTCCTTGTCTCGGCCCTGTCCTTGGACAATGGTGCGTGCTGGCAATCTCGGTCCAATGTACTTCTTGGATTCAGTAAACATGGATGGTCCTGCAGTTGCCAAGCAATCCGAGGTCGGAATTTCGTATTCGGGATCAGTGCAACTTCCTTCGGTTCCGAAGAAACATCTGAACATTCCGAATGTGGTTCCCCAATTCTGGCTCTTGGTGGAAATGTGTCTTGCCAGAAGTTCCACTCTTGCAGAAGGTCCGCCACGGACAAAGCATGTGATCGGTCTGGATGACCATTGCTTGATCACGATGCGCTTGTACCCGAATCGGATGAACGTCTTGATGAGCTCCCTGGATTTCTCATCATTAGGACTGAAGAATGCGTCTGCTTCATTCAGGCATAAGATGTGTGCACTGTTCTGCATCATCATCTTCACGATCGGTCGATCCTTCATCGGCATGTTGTACACCTCCCTGTTGTCCAGCTTTGGATTCCTCGTGAGGTTTCCATGGTTCAGGGTAAGCATGTTGATCGCTATGGATGAGGTGAACTCATGCATCTTGAGATAGTCCACAGGAGGACGGTCGGTCGGTTGCATCAGCGATCCCAGGATATCGGCATAGGCTCGGATGATTTCCGGGTCATCATGTGACCTAAGCTTCTTCAATCCAAGTGGAAGCTTAATCGGATATCCGGATCCTGGTTGAGCTTGCTTGTACTCGTCCATGGTGGGACATTCTCCTCGATGAGGGAAGTAGAATTCTTCTTCTCCGAGATTGGCATCGGGATCGACATGTGCCAATGAGGCTCTCTCGCACTCTGTCAAGTTGGGATGAGCTCTTCTTGGATCTATCTTTGTTGTGCTTGTTCATGAAGCGGAGGAGGTTTGCCTTGGTCTCCGCGAGCTCTTCCTCTGCGTCCTTTTTGTTCAAATCTGTTTCGAGATAGATTCCCTTGAGTTCTTGGATGAACTCGTCTAGGTTCTCTGAATTATGATATTCCACGGTGACCTTTGGCTTGACGGATCTTTCCCCGAAGGGTTCCATGGTCTCTTCTTCAGCTTCGTCCTGATCGGTGGAATGCCGTCTCTTCTTGGTCTCTGAGGAAGCATCTTTTTCCTTGCTGTGCTTTGTGGAATTCACATAATTGAAGAAGGCATCGGCAAATTCGCGGATCTTGGTGTCGTACATCTCGTAATCTTCATAACTGAGATGCTTCTTCATGATCCACTTGTTGCTCGCCATGAGGCTGCCATCAGGTTCAAATGCTGCAACAATGTTTCTTGCCTCGATGGTTTTGTCTGTCAACGCTGTTCGCTCTTCGGAGAGTCGGATGCCGTAGTCTTGGTCCTTGAGGAATGCAAGGATCAACAGTGCATCTCTTCCTGCTGGCAGTCAATGCGGCTTCTGACTCATCGTCGTCAAGGATGACGTCATCGATGCATGCCATGTGGACGTGCATTCTCCCCGAAGGGTTTGACTGGGATTTCCCAGATTTGAGCCCGTGCTCCATGATGCTGAAGAGCTGATTTCCATAGGTTGCATGGAACATGAATGTGATGGGCTTCTTCGCGAACGGCTTGATTTTCTCTTCTTCAATGGATGGTGGTGCCGGCCTTCGCATTCTATGCTTGGGCTGAGCTGTGCTTTCATCTTCATGAGGCGCCTCGGATCTTGACGGATGCGGACTTGGTGGAATGGATTCCGTTGGGAGATCATAGTCCGGTTCGTCGTGTTGAGGCTCTTTCTGCTACTCAGAGTACAGGGGTCGTCCAAAGGATTGGATTTCGACTTGTCGTGTGTGTCCGCTATTGCATCTCACATAGAACTCCATCTCTGGATCGACATAGAATTCCTTGCCATCGGGCCTGCGTGCATTTTGTGCGGATCTTGTGGTGAGCTTGTCGATCCATCGATTCCTTGGAACAATTTCTCCCCGCGCCTTGCGCTCATTATATGACCCGTCCACGGATGGAAATACGAATGCAATTTCGAAACGTGATTTTCCATAGCTCGGGAACATAGCCATCAAGAGAAGTCCAGGCTTATTTCCAATAAAGTTCCTGGCATGTGTGATGCAGGTCAATGCGTCATAGAGCTCGACGGATCCATCAGGACCCATGTCCACTTGTCGTCTGCATTCATTATGGATTCCATGCCTTGGATCATGTCGAAGACATCCGGAAAATGATCTGCTCATTCTCTCAATTCGCCAGAGGATGAGATCTGTGATCTGTTTCGCCTTGGATGGATCCATGCGGAAGTATTTGCAAACCTGTTGTACATTCTGGACGGTCTTCTCGAGATCAATGTTGCCGTTGTGGCATACCATCGGGATGATGTCGGTTCCGTAAACTTCGGATTCAGCATTGGTGTAGCAGCAGATGCTGTAGACCTTCTTGATGAAGTCCATGTATTGCTTCTCCGTATGAGGTCCTTCACCTTGGAGTGTTGGCTGCCAGTAATCGTTGAATCTGGCCTTCAACCAGAATACCTTGACTCCATGTGGTCTTTCATGCTCAGGAGCGAAATGGAAGTCCGGATTGACATCGAGGATAATTGAGCATTCCTTGTAGTACTCGTACACAAAATTCAGGAATTTTGAGTTTCCGAAAGGTCCTGGGTGTACGGATTCCTTCTGGAGGCTGATGTTTGTATCCGATCCATATGTTGCAAACCACCGATCATTGGATGTGAGAACGTGGCCGCATCGCTGGTCGCCTTGGAAGTGCAGGTCGATCATCAGGATGATTGTCGGATTCCGTCTCTTCATCCAAGATGCTCTTTGGTGCTGGCTTGACCTTGGAGACAAGCCTCAATGCTGGTGGCGGTGACTTTGGAACAAGTTTCGGATGCGGCATCGCCTTTGACAAAGGCCTTCCTGCGGGAGGATGCCCTTCTTCATCTGAATCATCGTCGTCGGAATCTGGATCATATTCAACCTGCTCCATGTTGACATTCTCGGGTTGTTGAGAGGCGGATGGATTCTCATCGGCGACTTGCTCCATGGGGCAGTCTGATGTCTCATCTTCCTCATCACGAGCAGGGGATTCCTTCAACGGTGATGCCCGTCTCTTGATCATCGGCTTTGGCACAGGTGCCGCGGCGCTGGATCGTCCGAAGACCATATTGAGAATGGGCATGTCTTCGAAGTGACCGAGCATACAAGATTGCAAAGGTCGGATTGGTTGTAAACCGAAAGTGGCTGCGGATGCAGACACATATTTCTTGAGATTCAAAATGGGTCAAGTGCAAACACACGCATCACGGATTTGAGGAATTGAAAATGTGCAAAACGGAAAAACTCATGCATCAGAATTCGTGGACATGCGGGTCATGCCCAGGTTCCCCAATAAGCAAACATGGATTCTGCTATGACTCCTGCAAAGGCAATGATGTTGGGTCCGTGCTTTGTGTTGTGTGCTAGCCACTCAACCAAAAATGCCTTGTTCTGCAACATGGTACGGAAGGGTGGATGTGCATCTACATTCAAGAGATTGCCGGTGAGGACGGCCTTGATGAGCTCGTCTGCCTTAGCTGAATGCTTGGTCAGCGAATCTGCCAGACAATCCTCACTCCGTACATGTGCAAGGTCGTGCATCTGTCCACTGTTGCTTTCCTTTCTCAACATCTGGATCAAATGCATTGTTTCTTTCTGTTCCGGTTGATGTGTTGTGGATGCTGTGGTGACAAGATTGTTCGCATCAGTGCGGATGTGTACATCTGCGATTTCGCCCGATATGTCTGACCAGAGACCGCGAAGAAATAATGCTGAACCGTAACAACGCATTAGTCCGTGCAACTCTGCAACAGTAGTGGACATAGTTGTGGCGGTGATCTTGTGCGTCTCATAGTCGACCAGTGAGCCTCTCGAGTTCGATGAGCCCTGGCGAAGATCTCTTTGTTCTGCAAGAAAGATAACGTGCGCACGTTGGAATGACTTGTCCTCGTTGTTGCGATAGGATGCATCTGGATAGCCAACTATGCGTGTCTTGCCACGAAGGGGCCAGAATCTCATACTAAGCGGGATGCTTTTGATGGTTCTGACTGTCTTATTAATGGAACGAACGTCCTCAATGGTCGGTGATGATGCCTTGGATGCACACCTGGAGAATTGATAACCAATGTGGAACTGCGTTCGCGACTGTAACCAGTTGATCTGACCTAGGACACTTCTGTATGCAGTATGCATTTGTGGAGTAAGAGGAGTGTCGTCTTCGTCGATGGCAACATTCTGATGGACATTGATGTACCAACCGTGCTTGTCATCTTGCTTCTATTGGATGCGCTGTCCTACGAAGAGGCAATCATTTTGTCTTCGGAACCAACCTGAAAATCTTTTTGAAGTCGTCCCATGATTTCCTTCTCAAACACGTCATCCCCCGTCATAAGAAGATCATCTACATGAAGAGACAGTGCTCCATGAACTTGTCGATTCTTGGCATTGTTACCAGAAACAGGATCCATAAGGTAATCAACTGCTCCTTCGAGATCGAAAGTTGTGGATGACTTCTTTTCACTCGCCAATGCGGGTTTCGGAAGCTGCTTGCCGTAGTACACATATGTACAGCGGTCTGCCCGGGTTGGCACCAGTCCGTATGAACGGAGTGCCGAATCAAGGATGTTCCACCATCTGCGGGGTGCGTCATTTAGCCCGTAGGCAGGCTTCTTCATGCGCGCTCCAATGTGTGGTGGATATCCCATTTCAGGAGGAATCTGACAAATGATGTCACGAGACTGATCGTATGCTTCGCCTTGGAGAAATGCTGTCTTCAAATCCATGTGGAATATATTCCAGCCTTTATTTGAGGCTGCTTGGATTGCAAGGCGGAAACCACTCCTGGATGCAGCAGGACTGTCTGTCTGCTGATCATTCTTCTGCTTGTCTTGGAAGCCTCGGAGGACCCAGCGAGCTTTGGCCTTCAGAAAGTTACCATCCTTGTCTCGCTTCAGGGTAAGAACCCAGAGACCGGTGACCCAGTTCCTGACCTGAATCTTGCGTGTGTCGACTAAGTCGAACACTTCATTGTCAAGCCATGATTTGCACTCAAGCTGCTTGGCTTCAAGGAATTGCTTCTGATAAGCTCTTATTTCCGTGGCTGTAGCTTCCTTCCGCTTCTTGCCAATGAGTGCGGATGTGGATGAAGCCTTCAAGGATTCTTGCTTGGATGAATACAGAACTAAGAGTGCAAGGTCATCGTCGGTCATGTTCTTGCATAACTGGTCAACATGATTCTGATCTGTGTATTTCTGATGAGAGAATCCGCATCGGGGCGATGGGATGAGGGTCCCTTTCACACGTCCAAGAAAGACAGGGTTGCCTTCGATATCTCTTGGAACCGTAAAGGATCCGGTGCTCACACAGATCTTCTGTTCGGCTGTCATGAGTGACCAGTGCGCTTCATCAAGAACGAGATCAGCTTGGCGATCATCGTAGGATCTGGTCCTCTGAGAGTCTTCTGAATCTCCATCTTCCTGGTCAGTGTACCTCATGGTTCTTTCTGAACTTCCAGCGCCAGATGAGGTTGGAACATGAGGAATCAGTTCTTCCTCACTTTCATATTGGACCGGCAAATTCGCTGGATTGTTTGGATTATAATTGGATGAAGATGCAGGATCATGTCTGGTAGAATGCTCAGGTGACTCATCATTGTCATCTGGCTTCTTCTTCTTCTTCCCAGTCTTCTGCTTCTTTGATGGACTGCCGGTTGTTTCTTCTTGCGCTTCAAGATCTTCATCTTGGTCTTCTGCTTCGGGATTTGTATGAATCGCAGGTGGTGAAGGTACCACGACAGTCGGAAGAATTGGCTGAGATGATTGCGACTGTGACGGCAAAGAGACATCACCCCCGAGTCGATCGAGTCCGCTTGAGGATGAAATGGACTGTTTTTCCAGGCTTGTCGTGTGGCGGTAGTGGAGGATCCACTGGACTGTCTGGTGACACACTGCGTGGTGCTGGCGGCATGGGATGATCAGGTTGATGTGGAGGACCTGGAGGAGGATCTGACATGTGCTCGTCCGGTGGCGTTGGAGGTCTTGGATCAGGCATGGGATGGTCCGGTGGATCAGGTGGCTGCTGTGTGTCAGGTTGTTGAGGTTCATCCGTTGGATCCAATGGATCCGTCTCGATGGGCATCGGCCTGATAGCCGGCGCATCGGTGAACGACTGATGAACGGATGAAAACATCACAGCATGCCAAGTCTTCGGATCATATTTCTCCCAATTGCATTTTGATGCAGGCAAGACCCAAATTCTATTCAGCTGATCAGGCTGCCAGAAGGATATGATTGCATCGTCCGGAGGTGACGTAATAGGCATATTGATGCCAATGGTGTGGACGTATGCGGTGCATGCATCATACTGAGTGGATGAGATGCACAATTGTCTCAACCTCGTACAGCCATTCCACATGTTCTGACATCGCCAGTCATTAGGATCTTGCTTGAAGATATCGATTTCAGTCCCAGGTGGGTACTGCTTCATCGTCTTCTGGAACTTCTGAACTAGCGGATCCTGGATGACTAATGGTTGAACGTCCTTGTTGAAAGGGAGGTCTTGGATTCTGACTGCAAGACTGCTGCTGGTCATGTTGAACTCCTTGTCAATGGCTTCCATCTCCTTTCTCAGGATATCAACCTGCTTGATGGTGAATGGTTCAAAAAGGTCCTCCAAGAGGTACACCTCATTGTCAAGCGGTTTCACCTGCAAGTGTCGTAGGAGGATGTGTGCGAGATCCTGACAGAACTGGTAAGGATACACCTGTGCCGGTTTGGTCCTGCTTCCGAAGGTACCAGCGTTTCCCTCTAGGGGTTGGTGTTCATGCTTGACTGAGCTGCAAAATATTTTACACCTTCTGAAGATCGGTCTCATTACCTCGGGAGGTAAACAGTGCATCAAGCTCGTGGGCTTGAGACTTCTGAGCCCGGATTCAGGATCTTTAAGTCCGTATGAAAAATCTTAGAGGGGGGGGGACAATTCTAAAGGACGCAAATAAGAAGGCCTGTAATGTCGCCGGCCTGAGCCGGAGGTGTTAAAATTGCTAAAGTGCCCCACAACCCCATTTATTTAGGGTCTGTTTTTTCCCTTGACCCCACAACCCACGCTTTGGGTTTTGGCCCACGGCCAAATTGCTTAGGGTCTTTTCTTTCCCTTGGCTGGGCTCCTGAGAAGAAATCCCTGAGGAAGTCCAAGCCGTTGGTCTTGTTGAAATGGTCCTGCGACGAGACGATCGTCTGAGGTGCATGGCGCGTGTTCTCAAAATGGAAGTCGGAACAGCCTCCTTTTGGTTGGTTAGAGGGAAACCAAAAAAAACAAGGAAACCACAAGGAAACCACAAGGAAACCAAAACAGACCGCTCTCTTGACCAACCTCCTGGTCTTGGGGCACTCCTCTGCCCAGTTCGCCATCTTGAGCTCCCGCGTAATCTCTCGGTCGGCGCCTTGGTCGTCAGTTGAAGCCGTAACGGCCTCAAGTGGATGCACGTCCTAAGTCCAAAGGTGTGTGAACTTTAATAGGGGACCCTTTGGAGGACGTAGGTGAGATTCATGTTCACTGGTGAGGTGGTTCCAACTGGTGAAATTCGTAGTCAGCTGGAGTGGTGAATTAAAATAGCAACATTATTACACGATAAGCTAAGCATTGCTACTGATGCAACTGGTCATCACTTGTATTGAATCTATACCCGCCACTTGTGCATGTTTTAAAGCCCCCAATCCTTTTCGTACTACTTTTTTGACGTTATCGTTTTTTCCTGCTTATCGTTTTACAATGTTTTCCTCTACTTGGTGTATCAAACTCGAGAATCCGCACATTTTAGTACACGGGTAGTACGCGAAGTACACTGCCGCAGCTCCAGCTCGAAAATCGCAACTTTGTAGTACAAGTGTAGTAAACGAAACACACTTCCGCAGCTCCAGCTCGAAATCGCAACTGTTCAGTACAAGCGTAGTACGTGAAGTAAACTTCCGCAGCTCCAACTGGAAAATTGCAACTTTGTAGTGCACGTGTAGTACGCGAAGTACACTTCCGCAGCTCAAGCTGGATAATCGCAACTTTGTAGTACACGTGTAGTACTTCCGCAGCTCCAGCTGGAAAATCGCAACTTTGAATACAAGCGTAGTACGCGAAGTGCACTTCCGCAGCTCCAGCTGGATACTCGCAACTTTGTAGTACACGCGTAGTACGCGAAGTGCACTTCCGCAGCTCCAGCTGGAAAATATACAAGCGTAGTACGCGAAGTACACTTCCGCAGCTCCAGCTGGATAATCGCAACTTTGTAGTACACGTGTAGTACGCGAAGTACACTTCCGCAGCTCCAGCTGGAACATCGCAACTTTGTATACAAGCGTAGTACGCGAAGTACACTTCCGCAGCTCCAGCAGCTCCAGCTGGAAAATCGCAACTTTGTATACAAGCGTAGTACGCGAAGTACACTTCCGCAGCTCCAGCTGGAAAATCGCAACTTTGAATACAAGCGTAGTACGCGAAGTGCACTTCCGCAGCTCCAGCTGGATACTCGCAACTTTGTAGTACACGCGTAGTACGCGAAGTGCACTTCCGCAGCTCCAGCTGGAAAATATACAAGCGTAGTACGCGAAGTACACTTCCGCAGCTCCAGCTGGATAATCGCAACTTTGTAGTACACGTGTAGTACGCGAAGTACACTTCCGCAGCTCCAGCTGGAACATCGCAACTTTGTATACAAGCGTAGTACGCGAAGTACACTTCCGCAGCTCCAGCTGGAAAATCGCAACTTTGTATACAAGCGTAGTACGCGAAGTACACTTCCGCAGCTCCAGCTGGAAAATCGCAACTTTGAATACAAGCGTAGTACGCGAAGTGCACTTCCGCAGCTCCAGCTGGATACTCGCAACTTTGTAGTACACGCGTAGTACGCGAAGTGCACTTCCGCAGCTCCAGCTGGAAAATATACAAGCGTAGTACGCGAAGTACACTTCCGCAGCTCCAGCTGGATAATCGCAACTTTGTAGTACACGTGTAGTACGCGAAGTACACTTCCGCAGCTCCAGCTGGAACATCGCAACTTTGTATACAAGCGTAGTACGCGAAGTACACTTCCGCAGCTCCAGCTGGAAAATCGCAACTTTGTATACAAGCGTAGTTCGCGAAGTACACTTCCGCATGTCAAGCTGGAAAATCGCAACTTTGTATACAAGCGTAGTACGCGAAGTACACTTCCGCAGCTCCAGCTGGAAATCGCAACTTTGAATACAAGCGTAGTACGCGAAGTGCACTTCCGCAGCACCAGCTGGATAATCGCAACTTTGTAGTACACGCGTAGTACGCGAAGTGCACTTCCGCAGCTCCAGCTGGATAATCGCAACTTTGTATACAAGCGTAGTACGCGAAGTACACTTCCGCAGCTCCAAGCGTAGTACGCGAAGTACACTTCCGCAGCTCCAGCTCGAAAATCACAACTTTGTAGTACACGTGTAGCTCCAGCTGGAAAAGGAGTTCAATCCTTACTGGCCGCTGAAAATGATCAAGGTTCAAGTTGCCCGGGAAGCGAGAGCACCTTTTTCACCCATTGGGAGGGAATCCTTAAACATGGAAAATCGGTTGAGCCTCGTTTCAAGACCCGCAAGGTTGGGCCGTATTGAAACTTAGATCAAGGCACCTAGTTGGCCATGTCTTTGTACACTTTTGACTTTGGACTCTGGCTTCAACCTGCAGTCCAAACATGGGCGCCGGGGTCCCGGGCACTCCTTCACACTCTTGTAGGTGACGCCACCTACCGAAATCGATCCGCAACCCCAGCCCCGGATCTTTTGACTCCGCTGGTGTGGCATTCGCGTCACGGCCCCAACCAACTCACTGCATTCACAGCCAGCGAATGCAAACCACCGCCGCGCAGCAAGACTAGGGCTCCCAGGAGAAGCGTGATCAACATAACAGGAGTCACTGAGGTGTCGCTAGGTCGTGGTGACGGCACAGCGGCCAAACGCCCTTTCTGTGATTCGAACAAAGCAAATGTCAAGTTGAGATGCGCCTGTGAACTTTGAGTTGGGGGAAAACGAAATGCTATGACCAGTTCTGTAAACATGTCTAATGTTGCACGTTGCGATAGTCGTTCTGACCGGCAAAAACGGCGGACAGTCAATTGAAAAAGGACGGATGGAAGTCTGGGTATCCGAATGTCGGCAGATGATTCGCAAATCTTCTCATCAAAGACGCTCGCTTTTCCAGCTGACTGCCAGCGCACCGCTTTGGCCAAAAGATCCCACTGAACGACTGGAAAATCCCTTGGCACCTTGCAGAGCCCCCTCTGACTAAAGACCTCCCTGTTTGGCCCGAAACCCAACAAATACCAACAACATAATTATAAACTACCAAAGCTCTCCTTTGACAGCCTCGAGGCCAGGAAGTACAAATGGCCAGCTGGAAGCAGCAAGCTTCTTACAATTTGCTTGAAAACACAAAAAATGACCAGTTTGCAAAGGGGACCCACCAGCAGACTTGCCAAGTGCGGATTAACCCCAGAAACCCAGGAAAGCCCTAACTCCGGATTTCCGGGACCTTGTCAAGGGGTGCAAAAAGTGTGCCTTCATTCTCAACATGCATCTCCCCATTATCTACTGTATCACTGAAAGGTAGTGGAGCGATGCTGAACAATCAACGAATATTAAGCAGCAACCAAAAGAGGTCCGAAAAGTCTTTGGACTTCGACGCGGGGCTTGCCGCCGTGTTTCCTTCAACCTTGAAAGCTGCTGGAACACACCCACAGGTCAGGTTGAAGACCTCCATTTGCTCAAGTCCCTTGGAAAAAAAACAGCAGTGATAGATTCCCTTTCAAACCAACAGGGGAAAATACAAAAACAATCTTAACTAAATGGAAGAAGACCATCAACCAGCCGGGCTGGTCTCCAGATCCTGTGTTCATCTTTGAAGGCGTGACCCCAGCAGAAGGAGGGGTTCATTTCCGGAAGGAGGCAGTTGACCCCCCTGCCAAGCTTCCAGAATGGTAAGCATCAAAAAGAGTTCAAACCAGGGTCATCACCACGTCGCACCAGAACTTTACACATTCTTGCAAACATGTGAGACACAAAAACTACCAGTGAAACCAAATCCATGACAAGTCGGTCAACCTCAACCGCCTGGGTTGGATTCCCCTGCGTGGATTGATGGCCTGTAAGAAAACAGGGGCCTCTTCCGGGAACCAAAAGGGGAACTCCGCGGAAGCGTACGCGAGAAAAAACACGGCTCCGGGCCCTACCAAAACAGCTCTGCTCATTTTGGGATCCCATGCTTCGCGTTTGGACTGTCTGCTCTCATCCCAACCTACGCCAGCCCCGGTGTTGCCCTTGAGGTCATCCTTCCAGCCGGTCATGCCCTGCGCGTCTTCCAGAGACTTGTCCGAAGGCGACTTCCCAAAGACGTACCTTAGAGGCTGAACACCCCCCAACTCCAGCCGTTTTTCCAACATCCCCATTCGAACCTTTGCTTCTCTCGCGACGGTTTCTGTCTGTGGGCGTTCCGTGCGGTTTTGGGAATCGGATTGTGGGCTGCTCAACGTGGTGACACTCTACTGCCAATATTGAGCGGGAAATCAACGCAAGACCGCCGACGCAGTGAACCAGAGAACATTCGCGACCCAGTAGAACCATCCTTGCTTTCTCAAACCATATTCATATATCATATGGGCTGAACAATTCACCCCATGGTAATTTGCTGCCACCTTAACTTTGCAATTGGCAATTTGTTCATTTCTTGGCTTGCCAGGGTCAAAACGCTTCATGTATAAACCATTGCAGCAATCGTTGTACATGAGGCGACTTCCGACCTATACAAGCAAGAGCTTTTGCAATGCAAAATCGGTAGCAAGCCGGGGAGCTTGCAGGGGTTCTCGTCGTCCAGACTCTCAGCCTCGCTGTTCATGATCTCCAACTTGAACTTCCGAGTGCCGGGGTGCGACTCGTCCTTGCACTCCGGCAGGTACTCGGGGTCCGTCGCCCCAAACCTAGCCAATGGTTTCACATGAAACCCACGAGCGAATCTGAACGCTGCTGCGTGTGCAATTCGATCAAATGACACGAAGGGACCCAACATTCACGACACCTGAACCCATCTACATGCTCGACAATCGGCGGAAAAAATGGCGACTGGCTAGTCTTTGCGCTTGCGAAAAACCTCCAGGCACAGGGGGAGAAGCCTGGTGTCACCAATGCGTGGACCAAGCATACCGAAGCACATCCACTTTAGCTTCCTTTTTAAACACTGGAAAATGGAAAAATGGAACGAAACCAGTGAACTGGACAACCAGGTTTTATTCCATCCTTGGTTTCTTCACTAAATACAACACACCATGTGTTGTACGACCTCGAGCATCCCACTCTTGCTTCTTTCATGTGCAACTCGTGGTGTGCTTTTGATTGACACCAAACTGACAAATTGGGAGATTCGCACAATGGCGGCCCGCTTTTTGTTCATAACTGGAAGCCAAAAGCAGACTTACTATTAGGGAACCGGTTCCCATTTTGAGAACCACACAAATCCGCACGATCCTGATGTTGGAGCCATGAAAATCACCCGTGTATGTGTGTGTGTGTACTTGTGTGTTTTTTTTTATTGTGTGTGTTGTTTGGTGTTTACCCCCTAGCTTGTTTGGTGTCTAAGGGACCCCTGGCCACCCACCGCGCGCCGGTGCCTCAACTGACCTGTTTCACAAGCCGCCAAACTGGGAGTTCTTCACAATGACGGCCCCCCCTTTTGGTTCAGAAAATGGCAACCATGAGAAACGCTCAAATCCGCACGATCCTGTGCGTTTATTTGCTTTTTGGCCCCCTTGGACCCCTGGCTGAAAAAAAACACGACCCCCCAACTCGCCAATTGCGAGCTCGGGCCAAAGCAGGCCTGCCGTCCGAGCGGCTTGATGAGGGGCGGGGGCTTCCGCTTCCTGCGGCCCCCGATGGGCTTCACGCCCCTCGCCTCGAACTGCGCGTCGAAGTCCGAAACCGGCACCACGCGCCACTCCGAGCCCTGCAGGGGGCTGTCCAGCGGGTGCCTTTGCCGAAACTGGGGACGGATCCGGCCCCCTGAACGAAAACCATCTGTTTGCTAGTTGAACATGACAAATCAAAGGAGACAAAGGTAAGTTCAAGCAAAAGGTGAACAAGGTAAGTTGAGTATTTTAGTGGAAAGGGAGTCATTCGCCAAGACCAAAAGGCCCACATCCGTACTGAAAAAAACTCTGTACATGAGATTCGGACCTTGTTTCATATTTGGTCTATCCCCAAATCAAACTATCAACCGACACCAAGAAGCAACTGAGCGCAAAACCCACAAAACAGAATAATCAAAGAACCAAATAAACTCAGATACACATAATCCATGAAACAAAGAAACACGATATCAATCGAACAAAATGAAACTAAACTCAACTCAACCAAACATAATTAACTTCACTAAACCTCGCTTTTTGAACTACACTAAACTAACAAACTGACATGCAAACAAAGTAACACTCCTATACAAACACAAATAAATAGCCAAACCAGCCAGACCGGCCAAGCTACCCGACTCAGCCAAGTCAGCCAGCCCCCACCCCGCTAGACCATTGATCAACATTTATTTTCTCTCAACTGCGGTTGAACCACATCTTCTTTACTGGGCTGCCCTCAGATCCCCCGCTAAAAGTGACCAACTTTTGGTTAAACGGAAACTGCCACTAAACAATAAAAGGTATCAAAAGATAAGGGGATGGCTGGGAGCCACCAAGTTTAGATTCACATGTATGGACAGATCTAACATTCTGACCGGTTCATGATTCAGATGGTACGGCGGACGCTGAAACAGGCCAGATTGCATCGGTCATGCCTGTCATAGGGGCCGCTTCGTGCAAAGTCGGATGCTGCTGACACGAATACTTCTTGGTAGGTCGGACCTTGTCAGCGCAAAATCTTAGTTGCCAAACTACTCAAACGGTTGAAACCGAAGGGCACCCCAGTGAGTTCATGCACACGTTGGCCCGAAACCCGAAACCCGGCACAAAGACAACCGGGTTAATTATGCCGAGCTCGCCTTGTGTTCACGAAGCTTTCTCTGACCACCCAATCGCAAGTCTTAGTCAACACCAAGTCGTATTTGTAGTCATCCTGCGAACCGAGGCAAGATTCTGGGGCCATGGGAATTCACGGAACCCGTTGGTGTCAACGTGCTTTTTTTGGTGCGCGGAAGTCTAGAACCCTTGCCATGATTGAAACATGTGGACCAGGCTGCTTCATCCAACATCGCTTACGCATGTTGGAAGGCTTCTAACACCCCAGCAAGACATGCCAAGGCGCACAATGTCGGAGGCCGCACAGGTCTTGCCTGTGACACACCACTGGCCTTGAAACTTGTCGTAGGTCAGCGTGCCTGACCCAAAACATCGCCATGCGGAAGGCAAAGCTACCGCAAAATGCACTTCACATTCCACCTTCGAGGCCCAGCATAGCGTGGTGAACTCATCAACTTGTAGCCCACAGTTTCAAGCCGGCTGGCACCATCAGAAAAATGCCGACTGAGACGCGCGTCTCACGCTGCTGTCCAAGCAAGCTGACCAACCAACATGAAGCATATCATTGTAGGACGGGCCCCAGGCTTTTGCTGCTTTGCTCGCTTTGTCCGGCCCTGAGTGTTTTGTTTGTGCGTTTCGGAGTTTGAGTACAATTATCAAACATGCAAACCCATGCATTCTGTGTTGCGTCTTGCCCTGAGACATGCTTCAAGTGGATTCTGTCTTTGCAAACCACGTGCCATGTCCCCATATGAGACAGAAGCCCTCAGTCTCTCAGAGGCCTAGAACTGCACGTGTGCTAAAGCAAATCTTGGGTGCTGCAACGCCCCCCCTGCTAAAAGTGAACCACCTTTTGGGGTTCAGTGGAAAACCGAATCCTTGAGTTCCCAAAAAGTTAAAGTCTAAAGATCCAATCCAATAGCAGCATTCAATAGCAGTTCAGAAATTACCGAACAAAGCAAAGATGATGCAGCTGCGAAGCAGCAGCAGTTCAAGGGAATCCGCCGAGTCCTCCGCTTGCCCTACTTTACTGGTATGCAACTGGAAGATGCTCTTCGCCTTTGCACTGGAGCCCGGCGCAAAACAAATCTAATGGCAAATGGATTCCTGGGCCGACCTCCGTTTCATCCGCCATTTATGAATCCTGGACTGGGCAAATTCTGATAGCTCTGATCTTCTCCCCGAGAGAGGCGCCTGAGGGATTTTGCCCGGGCTTGAAGCTCCTGGACTGCGAGAACTGCATGCGCCCGGAGCTGTCCAGGGAGGTTGGGCAGTAGACGCCTGTGCGGAGCCAAATGGGCCGACCTCTGGGTTGGACGCACGGAAGGCGGGATCAATGGATCCATGTGTTTTTTTGGTAGCCTGTTAACCTCGCCTCCCCAAAGAAGTAGTCTGAAGAGAAAAAAGGCAGAGTGCAACGAAAGTGTTGAGATCCGGTGCATGCTTGCTGGCAGGCGCACACTGGTAGACAAAGTTCAGAAGTTACTTCGAAGGCGCCACGAACAAGAACGCCCACCCCCCAAAGCACACGGACAATTGCAGAGAAAACCATGGGAAAACATGATCATAATAATATGTCTAAAGAACAAAACAAAACGAGGAATTGGCATCGGAAGTGCAACCTCTAGTCAAACAGCCAAACATCCCGGGATTTGCCACTCTTGCTCCAAGCCTTTTGATTTGGCCTGACTGGGTATGAATCAAGCCAACAATCCTGGGCCAGGTCGCAGGCATGATCAAGCCGCTCTTAAGCCTTTTCGACCTGAGGCACTTGGCTACGAATCAAATACGGGGCAACAGCTTGACTTCCAGTTCATAACCAACTCCCAGCCGACCGTCCCGAGGAGTTGGCCTTCCCATGCACCAGCCATGCCGGTGTCGAAGTCCCTCAACTCACTGCTCAGGAGGTACGGGTACACGGTGACTGGCACCCGGCTGATCTGGCAGCACTCCTCGCTCGTTGAGTTTGTTCAAACAAAAATCCCAGGAAATACCAAGGAAATCCAGGTTCCTCTAGATGAGATGTAAATCAACCCCAAACTAAGTCAACTCTGGAATGTTTTCTTTGGTCGATTCCGTAACTACTAAAGCCTTCACCTCTTTTGCTTTGGCTAACTTCTAGCTAGATGAGTCACCCCGGAGATCAAACTTCTTAGTTGACCTTAGTGAACCTACCCCCAACAAGATAGGCTCCTTGTCTTTCCACCTTAAACATCACCCCGCCAAGAGGAATCTCATCTAAAAGTGGGCAGCCAAGAGGTCATGTTGCTGCTGGACCGACAGGTGGACTTCCGGCGGTGCACGCAGTTCATAGTTCCGAGGAGGGTTACGGGGATGCGGGGGGCGGTGGTTTCGAGAAGGGCGGGGAGGCATGGGGCCAGCTTGGCTCCTAGGAAGCCTGGGACGGCTTCGAGTTCGGGCGACGCCTGCAGGGGATATCACCTGATCTTATGTATGTATTTATTTGTTTGCGGGGGGGGAGGGGGAGGGGGAGGGGGAGGGGGGGAGGGGGACGAGGGGGAGGGGGAGGGGGAGGGGGGGGTCGGGGGGAGGGGTTGGGTCATTTGTCTTTTCGGAATTGGTAGCCGACCTGAAATTTTGCTGGGAAGCCAAAAGGAAAAACGAAAACGCTTGTGGTCTCTGGCCTGGTTTTGGGTTGAAGGGAAAGCAACAGGCACACCACCCATCTTAAAGCACTTGCAGCCTTCACAGACCCAGCGAGACAGCACAAGCTCCAAAAGAGTTTTGCTTTCTTTTGAAGGTAACAGTTGTTGGATGATGGCCAGGTCCCAAACACGGGCCGCAACCAGCCCCGCCCCAGAAATAACGGACCAACCCCACGGACCCCGCTTTTCGCTTTTCTTTTTGCGGATCCAGGGCTCGTAGCGGAGCCGGATCCAGGCGCCCTTGTCGGAGGCCTCTGCCATCAAGGAGCGCAAGCCGTGGCCCACCGGGCAGGTGGCCGTCATGAGGCGAAGAGCCTGCGGTATCGCTTCCCGAAACAGAACTCCTCCGCAGATATGTTGGGTCGCCGTCTTTTTTAGAGGAGGAACCATGTAGATTGGTTTGGGAACCCCCTTTGCAAAGAAAACAAAACTGGCGTGGTGTCTTTCATCCTTTTCCTGAAAACCGTGGCCCCAAGAAAGTGGCGTCCTTTTGGTTTCAATTTTCCTTGTCAACCCATGTAACCAAAACCTGGCGACTGACTCTGAGTCAACCCAACGCCCACTGAAGCTGACCCGAGTTGCGTGTGCTTGGAAAAATGGCGGTGCAGTCGCACATGGTTCATCTTTCCAGTTGCTCGCAATATATCACTTAGGAGGCGTCAGAGACGTGCGCTGATAGTGGGGTTCACAGCTGGGCATTTGTATTTGGAAGCAGGAAATCTCTAGGTTCAAGGGTCAAAAGAAAACCTGCCTGGAAGATGCCCCGTGCTATAGTACCCCGGTTTGAGCCTCTGAAGTGGGAAATAAGTCCTGGGTGAAATCTTGTTGAATTAAGTCAAATCCTCATGGGGCGATTGATCTTCATGCAACCGCTTGTTCTCCCTCTGATATGCGCCATTTAGCGCCATTTGGCGGTGGGTCAAAACCAATGGTACCATTCTGGGGTAGGTGCACCACCCATTTTAGTATATTTTGGGTGGGGATTGGGATGTTCACTGGGGGTGCGGGATTTTGACCCATGGCCATTTCTATCTTTCATACGATATGTTGGGTTTCGGACCACATGTCAGGGTCAAGCTCTCGTGTGTGTGTCTGTGCGATTTGGGGTGGTGTCCAAAGTCTCAAGATGGTGGATCTTCCCTTTGAATTTCTTTCAAACATCTAAAAGTTGGCAATTTCCATTTCAAGTTCATCCCCAACCCCAACCGCTTTACTTATATATATATATATATGCTGAGATGTCATTTCCAACTATCACATTTCCTACGCCAACATGTTGCGTCAATGCGGGGGTTGCCGCACTTGCAAGACCTTTGCTTATTCATTTCGTGAGACATGTGTTTTTGTCCACTAACTACTGTGTTCTTTTTGCGGGACACCTGCAAAGCTTCACCATGGCCGGCACTCACCGAGCTTTCAAAGCCTTTGCTTGTTTGTGTCGCAAAAAAACCTGGGTGTGTGCGTGTCCGTTGTTTGTCAGTTTGTTCTTTTTTGCGGCTAGGACTTGAAGAGCCATGTTGGCTCAAGGGAGATCCTTGCGATGGCTTCATGGTTCGTTTCGCGCCACATTTCAGTTTGAGGGTCTCGGCAGCGATTGTCGCGGTCTCGAAATTCTCGAGATGCTACAGCTTCCCTGCAAGTTTGTCGACTTTCAAGATGTGGAAACTTGCATGCTTTACTGTGTTGTCGCTGGCTGCCCTTGGCATTTTAAAATGTCATCTCCAACCCCACTGCTATGCTACAACTCCGTTTGTACCTCTCATACTTCCTACCAACATTTTGGGTCAATACAGGGGCCCGACACGATTTATGTTATTATTCGATTTAGCAACACATTGTTGGGTCTTGCAAGCGATTTCTTACTCGTTTTCAAATTGTCGAGATGATGCATGTTCGCTCTAAGTTTATCTACTTTCAAAACATGAACATATGTGTTCTCTTTGGATGAACCTTGACATCTTCTTCAAGGCTCCTTCCCAATCCACCTCCTTCATTTCCATTTGTAACTGTCATGCTCATGCTGAGAACAGATATGCTGCATTTGACTCTGTTGGGCCTTTTTGGACCTTTTTGCTTAACACTCAAGCAGCCCGTGATTAGCTAAACCCATGTCCGTTCGCATGATAAGTTTGCTGTGCTCTCCTACCTTTTGCGTCTCCTTCTGCTGAAGTTTGATTAGCTCAAGAGAAGCGCAAGGGATTGTGTTCTCAAGCTTGATAAACAAACTGATGCGTGAGGCGCCTTTCATTTCATTTGGAAACAACAACAAGGGGTTGATGTTGTTATGCATTTGTAAGCTTGGTAACCTGACTGGGGCTTGTATTCCGCTGTGAGGGGCTTTGAAAGTTGCTGTGTTTCTGCTAGCCACACGCTTGAGGTTGCGTGCTGCAGTTGTGTGCTACAGGTGTGTGGCACAGCTGTGTGGTATTAGAGACCGTGACTCCAACTAAGCAAGTTTGGGCTGAAGCTTGAAATATCAAGTAGGTTCTCCAGTAGGAAGGTTAGAATAAGGGTACCCATGTTTTTCCAGTATTGTCTATTTCAGTAGGGGAACCCTCCCAACCAAAAAAGTTGGTGAGAAGGGCACTACTGGGGGACCTAGTCAACGTCCGCTTCGACAAGGTCCGAGGTACGAAAAGGGCTGTATTTCGAGATTGTCCCACAACAACTTCGAAACAAGGCGGATCGTGAAGTGACCGCGTGGAACGGCCTTCTGGCTGTGGGTCAAAACCATGTTCATCCACCCGAAAGTGGCATGAGCGAAACAGGAATTCAACCTTGTCTGAAAAAGGCGAGGGAGAGCAGGGAGAAAGGCAGACTCAGACTCAGAGAGAGCGGCGCGATAAAGCGGAGTGAAGCGTGGGAAAAAAAACACTTGTTGGTGCTCAGTAAGGAGCGACCTTCCAGGTTTTAGGAATGAACCCCGGGATCTCCTTGAAGGAAACCACCAGTTGGATGCTTTTTCTAGTCATTCCGTTAGAGCTGGGAGAGCGAAGCGAAACCGTGGAGGGGGGGGCTCAAGGCTGTGTATGGGACCCCGCCCACCCCTACCCCCTTTCATTGTAACGCCAAGAAGTACTCAAGGTAAGCAAAGGGCCCATCTTTCATATCAGTGTCTCTTGAATCCATATCCCTGGCTTCCGCACAGGTCAAACATGGGGAAAAGGCTGGGCTACACCACTTCTCTTGAAAAGGCATGGTTGCAAAATCCATGTGGAAAACAACTTGGTTGCTGTTGACCCCCCGGCAAAAAGTGAATCACCTTTTGGGGGGTTTAGTGGAAAACCGAATCCTTGATTTCAACCAAAAAGTGAAAGTCTAAAGATCCGTTGCCCAATAGCAGTCAAGTCCACGCCATCCGAACATGGATTGGACCCTTGTTTGGGGGTCAAAAGGAAAAACAAACCAGGGAACCAAGGAAAAAAACATCCATTAGGAAAAAAAGGGGGGGGGGGGTTGAAAAGGCCGGGAAAAATCCATTGGGAGAAAAAACAAGCGGGCCAGGTCGGCCCAGCCGTTTCCACCGCGAGTTTTTTCCGCCGCATCTCGCCTTCACATCCTCGAGCTCAAGAGCTTTGGTGTCCACCTGCTCGGAATAGCCTGCCGGACGCACGTCTCCGAGCAAGGAAACCAAAAGCGGACGTACGTCTCCGAAGCATAGGTGTCCTTTTAGGGAAATAGATGGATTTCACTGGTAGATGATTAGACCACCAGGTAAAAAACCAGGAATCGCCATTTATTTGGCTGTGGCTCAAAAAACCGGAATTCCAAAATGGAACTCTGGTAAGTGGAAACATGGACCAAACCCTGCGGTTGGCCCCTCCTGCTTGATTTTGAGCCAGACACATTTTTCTGGCAAAACAACCAAAAAGGACACATATGGTGGTGTCCGCGTCCCCAAACGAAGCATCGCATGCACGTGCAACAAGATTGATGTGGGCTTGTCTCAACATAGGGGAACCCCTAAAGCAAGCAAAGCGGTTTTGAAAAACATGTGCATGTTCATTCCCCCTTCATTTGATGTATCCTCTCTTTCCTTTTGGCTTCCAAAAATCAAACCATCCACACCCCTCAAAAAGACGAGCCACTCACATGCTCTCACAAACACGGCAAACAATGCTCAATCTAGAAAGATCCAAATCGGTCCATGCTTGAAGCGATCTTGGGCTTGTTTGTTCGGGCGGGCTGGTGGGAGCGTGACCTTAGGCATCTTCCCGAGCCAGCCGAATTCTTGCTCGATTGTTCTCCAAACACATCATCATGATCATGATCATGATCATCATCATGATCATGATCATGATCATGATCATGATCATGATCATCATCATCATCATCATCATCATCATCATCATCATCATCATCATCATCATCACCAGTGCCCTCGATCGCTAAACCACTTCCAGCTTCAATTTCAGAAGTAACTCGCTCGTGCGTGAATGAGTGCGTGAGTGCGTGCGGCGCAAGCGGCAAGCGCAAGCGCACCTGCGTGTGCAGGTCTGGGATCTTTGAACCGATTCAAGCCTAGCCCTGGGGCCCGTTGATTCACGAAGTCCCGATATTTCTAGCTCTAAGTTTTCTCAATACAAGAACAGTGTGGTTTGCAACCATATGTGATCTTTTGGAACAGTAGATGGCCCTGGTAAATATAATAAAACCATTCTAAACCAGTGCCGTCTATGTCTAACCAAGCCAACCAAAAACAAATGCCTTTGCCTTCTGCATAATTTCTTTCACCCCAAGCACAGCACTGTCAGTATCCGAGCAACACAAAAATTGACTTCTTGGGCGACCCTGATTAGGTTGTGGCACATGGGTTGCAAGTTGTTACACAACTGGTGATGATGCTTGACGTGATGCGGCCTGGAACTCCATGTTCGGAAAGCAACTTCCTGAACAGACTTGCCTCCCTTATCACCGAGTCCGCCCGTGCCAGGCCTGGTGAACACATGCCCAGGGAGGAGACATGGACACATTTGTATCCTCGGCGGGAGGGACGATTGGAGGAAATGGAGCTGAGGCTTGGCAGCAGCAAATCAAGGTGTCAAGCCTAGGGCCCCAGGTTTGTCCATACTAAAAGGACACTCACATGGCGCCATCTATGTGGAGGGGGCCTTTAGTGGGTAGTTATCTTTTGGCTTCCCTTTAAACCAAATCCAAAACGGATACCCTCAAAACAAGAGTCGCCCAATGTCAATCTAAGCCTCGAATCTGCGAGCTGGTCTTCTGGATGTAGCTGATCACCTTGCACAAGTCTTCCAGGAAATCCCCCCCCCCAAACACACCACCCCCCAAACACCGTTTCGAGGGGGTTGTTTGGGAGGGTCCCCTTCAGGTGTGAGCTTCGGGCAGCTGGCTTATCTATTCTGGCATCTTTAGGGATGACACAGTTGATTCAAGGACATTGGTGCGAGTACTATGAAACAAAGGCTCACAGCGGTTGCAGGCCGCAAGAAAAGCTGCGACATAAACCAGCGCCATAGGAAGTCTCCACAGTCTCAGCACCAACACTCGAAATGGATAGATGACATGCGATTCACCTGAGACGAACGTGAGCTCAAAAGAGTAACACAATTGCACCACAAAAAATCCATCCCGGGCGAAGTGTGTGTCTAACCTTCAAGCTCTGCGAGATTCGCCTGTTGAGCCTCCTTCAGGGACCCCATTGTCAGAAGCGGGCGGTAGACCCGGAAGGGTCCGACGTACGTCCAAAATTACCCAGCGACCTTTCAAGACAACAGAGCGAAATCGCTGTGTGTACACCAATCACCCTCGGGACGGCTCAAATACAAACCCATACGAGTTGATCTTCTGCAGCGCTTTTTGTTTGGACGAAACAACTACAAGTTGGCTGCCCTGGAACCAGAAGCAAATGCGGTTGCTTCTACAAAGGAGAAAGAAAGGGTCTACAGGCAAGGAGTTCGATTGCCGTTCGCGTTCGGTTGCCGTTCGCCTGGTTGCCCACGCAGGCGATGGGCGCATCTGCCAGCCCCTGCAGGCCGTGACCGATGACCCACTCCTGCTCGAGACCTGAACTTGATTTGTCTGACTCGGATTAACATGGAACTCCAAATGGATTTGGATGTGTCTTTTTTTGGCGGCGCCCTTTGTCGGTCCGTTGTAAGGGGAAACCAAGAGGAAAATCACAACTTTGGGGGGGTCCCTCAAACTAGAGGACGATTGGCCCGAAGGCATTTCTCCACAGGGGCTCATCCAGCCGCGGAGACACCTTTTTACATCGCTGCGGCGAGCGTTTCTGCGCGCGGCGATGCTCAGTGTGTATGGCCACATGAGAGCTCCATCTCATCATCCTACTTTCCTCTCGAACTGCGCCGCGCGATTTCTCACGAAAGTGGTCTGCGCAAGCTGCATTGTTCCAGGCTGCTGCGCGCAAGTTGCTCTCTGCAAGCTGCTGCACGCTGCTGCACGCAAGTGCTCTGTGCAAGTTGCTCTGCGCAAGTGCTCTGAGCAAGTTGCTCTGCGCAAGTGCTCTGCGCCAGTTGCTCCGCGCAAGCGCTTTGCGCATGTGCTCTGTGCAAGTTGGTCTGTGCAAGTTGCTCTGCGCCAGTTGCTCCGTGCAAGCGCTTTGCGCATGTGCTCTGTGCAAGTTGCTCTGCGCAAGTGCTCTGAGCAAGTTGCTCTGCGCAAGTGCTCTGCGCCAGTTGCTCCGTGCAAGCGCTTTGCGCATGTGCTCTGTGCAAGTTGGTCTGTGCAAGTTGCTCTGCGCAAGTGCTTTGTGCAATTGATCTGTGCAAGTTGCTCTGCGCAAGTTGCTCTGCGCAAGTGCTGCCGGAGCTGTGGGAATGTACTTCGCATACTATTTTTGTACTTAAAAGTTGCGATTTTCCCAGCCGGAGCTGCGGGGGTGTGCTCCGCGTACTACGTTTGTACTTTAAAGTTGCGCGGGAGCACGCTCCGCATACTACGTCTGTACTTAAAAGTTGCGATTTTCCAGCCGGAGCTGCAGGAGTACGGTCCGCGTACTACGTTGCGATTTTCAAGCCGGAGCTGCGGGGGTGTGCTCCGCGTACTACGTTTGTACTTAAAAGTTGCGATTCTCCAGCCTGAGCTGCGGGAGCACGCTCCACATACTACGTCTGTACTTAAAAGTTGCGATTTTCCAGCCGGAGCTGCAGCAGCACGCTCCGCGTACTACGTTTGTACTTAAAAGCTGCGATTTTCAAGCCGGAGCTGCCGCGGACCAGGGGGGAATCGAACCCGCGACCGCGGGATTGAGAAAGCAGGCGCGCGAACCACGAGACAACTTCCAAAGGCCGTTTCGCGGCACGGCGCCACAGCGACACAATCTCCGCACAGGGTTCGCCGAGACTAAGACAAATTCGCACGGCGCCACAGCGAGAGCGCTTCGACACGCACGATCCCCGCAGAGGGTCGCGCGCGCACCGCAGAAATCGTAAAAAGTCCTTAGTTTTTGAACCTCGACCACGCGAATCTCCGCAGAGGGTCGCGCGCGCATGCTAAAAATCATAAAAAGTCCTCAGTTTTTTAACCTCGACCACGCGAATCTCCGCAGAGGGTCGCGCGCGCACCGCAGAAATCGTAAAAAAACCTCAGTTTTTTGACCTCGACCACGCGACTCTCCGCAGAGGGTCGCAATCCCGAGCGACGATCAAACTCCCGCCCCGGCGCCTTAGAAACCCAAACTAACTTACATAGCTGCTAACGCCGAAGCTCTACGCAAGCTCTACCTAACCTTGGCTCTGTGCCACCTAGCTGTCACTTGGCTCTGTAACTTGGCTCTATGTAACTTGGCTCTATGCTTGGCTCTATGTAACTTGGCTCTATGTAACTTGGCTCTATGTAACTTGGCTCTATGTAACTTGGCTAACTATGTAACTTGGCTCTATGTATGTAACTTGGCTCTATGTAACTTGGCTCTATGTAACTTGGCTCTATGTAACTTGGCTCTATGTAACTTGGCTCTATGTAACTTGGCTCTATGTAACTTGGCTCTATGTAACTTGGCTCTATGTAACTTGGCTCTATGTAACTTGGCTCTATGTAACTTGGCTCTATGTAACTTGGCTCTATGTAACTTGGCTCTATGTAACTTGGCTCTATGTAACTTGGCTCTATGTAACTTGGCTCTATGTAACTTGGCTCTATGTAACTTGGCTCTATGTAACTTGGCTCTATGTAACTTGGCTCTATGTAACTTGGCTCTATGTAACTTGGCTCTATGTAACTTGGCTCTGTGCAACTTGGCTCTGCGCAACTTGGCTCTGTGTAACTTGTCCAAGGGCTCCGCACGGAAGAACCCTTCGCGATGCTTTCGGGAAAAACAACACCCTCAAAATTCATATTCATTTGCAAAGGAATTTCCCTTGGGAGGACAACCATGCAAGGGGAGTGGAGCAAAAAGAAACCAAAACAAGACATGTGAGGAAAACAGGGATGCTTTGGCGAAAAGGCCATTCTTAGTCCAAAAGAAACTCGAACAATGAAACAAGCGTTGCTGACGCGTTGTCAAACACACAAATCCAAACAAAGCTTTTCACAGGGCAGGCTGATCATCTGCGTCTTCTAGAAAACCGAAGCTTCGGGAGAGTCGCCGGGAACATCTTGCTCGTGAGAATGCCTGCTTTTGGCTTGCCGCATGCTTCGTGTGGCCTTTTGTTTGGATCAGTTTGCATATTACTCCAACTCCTATCCATGTGGCTTGCCACATTTGCAGGAGTCGCGAGAAAAAGAAGAGCGCAAAAATGGTCTTTTGATCGTCTTGTGGCTGCAGGTTGCAGGGCCTGTCACCATGAACTGAAGCATCCAAAACTTGCTGCCTGGCAAGAAAAAGGGCAGCTGCCAAAACTGGAAGCACTTCAATTAGTACACTAGTTACAGCTTGAAGTGCTAACGCGTCCAACAGCGAACCACCAACTGCAAAAACACACACCCAATTCTGCACAGTGCGCCCTGAAATACTCCCAGTCTGCTCGAGTCAGTTCACTTCAAGCTACCTCCGCTTACACACTTGCGTCAAATGAGGATGACCATGCTCCTTCCTGTGTGACAACAGGTGAAGGACAGATAGCGGATGGAGCAGCAGCCCACTGAGCGCACTTGAGTCGGAATCAAAACCGATCGGTACTAAAATGGTTTACCCAGAACCATGGAAAGAAATAAGAAGGCGGCAAAGGCACCCATTTACGGCAAGGGGATTGTCCCTGCCGTCCAGTTACCCGGGTTTTGAGCACCTGGCTCACAATCTTTGGCTCATCGATCGGATCTCTGCCAAGGCACTGTCGACACAAGTTTCTTGCTTCACACCGCTGAGCTTGTTGTCTGCCTCCATGCACTTGTTGGAGACATCCACCCTCTCAATCTTCCTCAGCTCGTCATGGAACCGCATTGAACAAAAACATATCATATACAGAAAGAGACCAACAACATGATTTTCGGCAGGACTGGCCAAGCGCCCACCAAAAACTCGGGTTTCCTGCGGAATTGTCTGCTGGTTTCCTAAGTAAACAGAAAGACAAAGAGACACGAGTTTTGAGTTTGCCGGATGTCGGGGTTCTTGAGATCAACGCAGGGGGGCCCTCAGAATTTCACCTCTAACACCACATGTTCATGCGTAATTCACATATCATAAATTAGCCTTCTACACGAAACCTATCAATTTAAGGTGATCGATTTGTGCGAGCGTATGTGCGGCTGCGGTGTCAAACTGCATGGTCACACGTTAGCACACATGATTGAACTCAAAAACATGCCAGCTTAAACAGAACGTGTTCACGGCGAGATACATGTTTTCCATTTGAACCTTTGCGATGAAGGCATTCAACAATTGGCAATTTGTCGATGTCAGCCCTCAAAGGAAATATCCAAACAGTCGACTCGACTACAACACGCAAAGCCGACACGCACTCCCAATCTGACACGAAAACAATATCTTTTCTAGCTTTGCAGGCCCCACGGACGAATCAGCGGTAACATTGTCAGCTGCCATGGCCTCCAATCTGCCGATCGGAATTTTAACAGCCAACAGCATTCCCAGCATCGTGAACTTCACAGAAACCTGCAGACAGAAGTCACATCAAGCCGATTTTTCTGGATCCAGGTGCTGCCCCAAAGGAAAAGGGTCTCAACTAGACACCGGCTGTAAGGCTGAAGCCTAGGTCGGGCCCCCCTGAACACGTTCAATTGATTTGCCAATGGAACAAGTAACCATTCTTGTCAACTGCGGCCTGGTTTACTACAATAAAGCTCAGTGATTCAGGGTCAACAACAACCGTAGCCATTGCACAAACAATGATATTGTTCCACTCAACTGCAGCTGGAACAAGTCAACTCGTGTCAATTGCAGCATGGTTCTTGCGACTGGGGACACTGGAAACGCTGCATTTGCTTGCCTAGGGGTATTTACCGACATAGATTGATGGGGGGAGCAATAAAACAGTTTGTGCTGTTTCTTCCTAGGAGGTTCCAGGGAGCAACAAAACTCGATTCGAGGCGCTTGTTGCTGCTGAACTTGTACTCCCCATGCAACGTGTAGCCCTGGCTCTTCAGGCGGAACTTCTGGTGGCTGCCTCAGCATGGCAAGTCCCATTGAACGGACACCACTTGCCCGACAAAGCCCACTTTGGCGTCAAGTCCGGTGATGTCGGGCAAGGCCGGAGCGCAATCGAAGCGAAGCCGGAGCGATGGCGGAGCGCAGCCGAGCGGAACCGCAGTGACTCATGGATCAAAACTGACTGACACCAAAAGGTTAAGCGCTTCTCTCTGGCTGAGAAAGCCTCCTGCCAGGGAATCCATGAATTGATTCGCGCACTCCTATCCTAAACATGTACCTCCAAGCAGGCAAGGCCATACTCGTTCTCAACATCTGAAACGATCATGCTCTATATTACCTGCCCAGGCACCTTGGCAAAACCGGTTATCCCAGGCGAATTGATGTGAGACCCCTGATATTTATTGAAACCAAAGCTATCCCAGATCCGTCTTACAACGCGCTCATCAGCTTTTGCCTGGTACGATCTTCATCCAACTCATATACGGGGCGGAACAGTCACTAACAGAACTTTCTCGCCATGACTTAATCTAGCTTTATGGTGCCCCAAACTCGCATTCTTGCTCTTTAGCAACTTATGATACTTAGACGCTTAGAACTCTCCAATTCCATGCAGATTTGCACTCAACTCCTGAAAAGTGAGGTGCGCTGCAAACACGTGTTGCGGATGCGCCAAACATCCCGGCACGCAGCTTCCCAGAATCAGCTCGAAGAGACTGGGGCCAAGCTGTGCTGGAGAAGCCCTGCCTTTCTGAAAGCCCCTGGTGTCAAAACGAGGCAACCATTTAGAGACAGTGTTTAGGATTTAACAAACAACTATGAAACCGTTGGAAGGGTGCATCAAGGCGTACTTGCTCGGTTGCGAAATCTGCGAAGCCCTGCTAAAAGTGACTAACTTTTGGAGGTTTAATTCGGAAAATCCATTAGTTGGAAAAATGTCAAGTCCTAACGTCCAAGCAACATGCACCAAAGCTTGGCTGGTGCTCCCGACAAACAAAAGAAGTCAAAAGGGCCAGTGGGACCTGAGCGGCCTTGCTTTCCAAACTGAACGGTCGCTGAAGGTCTGGCTGCTAAGAGGCGAGGTCCGCCAGTAGAGAGGTTAGAAAAAGGGCACCCTTTTTCTGTAGTCTATTTTTGTAGGGGAACCCTCCCCCAACAAAGTCAAGGGTAAAAGGGCACTACTGGGGGACCTAGGAGTTCTGGAAAACCACATATCCTTCGCCTTTGATTCCCCTTTTGAGGAAATTGAACATGAGCTACTTGGCATACGTGGGCTACTGATCCGGTGTTCACTTTGCATGCAAGACTCCGATCGGCTCCACCTTGATCTCTTCCGCAGCACTGCCGCTGCATGGCATGTGTAGGGCGAGCTCGATGGCTTTGCTGGCTGTTTCGTGTCGATCCTGCAAGCAGGGCTCCCTATATATGTCCCTTTCAACCTCAACGCAACAAAATTCCGCATGGCGGGCGAACTTCCCCAAATGGGAGGGACGAATGGGTTGGCTTGCCCAGAGAAGCCAGTCACAAAACATAACACCAATAAGCACCTGAGCAACCGACCAAACAAAACGCCGACAACGTGCAGCCAGGCTTCAAACTGTTGATTGGCGCCCTCATGGCACTCATGCATGTACACATTATCCGATTGCCCCACTGCCAGGTGAACATCCAAGCACCGGTGGTCGTACTCGCTGCGGATCGCTTTTGTGTCCTCATCAAAGTACCATTTTTGGTTGGATCCGTCGTGGCAATCATGCATGTAGACATTGTTGGTGCCGGTGTGGTAGTCCAAGCACTTGCCGTTGTGCAACGAATACATGTTGCCGTTGACCATATACCATTGCTGGTTGTCTGAGCTGGCAGTCTTGACTCACTCACACACGAATCCGTTTTTGTGATCCTGCAAACAGTAGGCATGAGCAAGTGTCAAATGTAAGCTTACATTTTGGACGATGGTGGACCTATCAGCAAGGTACCTCGCAGATAACCAAGTTACAATTTCATGAACTTGCCCCCATCCCCAATGCCTTCGATACTCCCTGCGCATGCGCCACATCTGCCCCTCCAGCATCATCAGCTTACGTTTTGCGACTCCCCCCCCCGACCCACCCTATCAAAATTCCCGGGAAAATTATTGAACATGTCCATGAACTGTTGTTGGGGGGGTGTGAGAGAAAGTAAATGTAACTTCTCCCAGGTGTCAAGTGACATTTTAGCCGCCCCCAACTCCCCACCCTCCCTCAAAAAACCTGGATATATGCACACCTGGGGGGGGGAATTTTGGGGGGTCCCCTTACCAATTTTTGGGCGGCATGGTACGAGAAACAAAGAAGCAGCTTGCTTGCCCAACGGCCACCGCCGTGGCAGCTGAAGGCGTAGACGTTCTCCGTGTTGTAATTGTAGTCCAAACCTGGCCGCAAAGGGATGTTTGTTCCGTTCCCAGCCCGGCAAGCAGACCCCTTTTTAAGTGCAAAAGGGAAACGGATGCTTGTTCCCACCCCTGTTGCATACCCCTTAAGTGGCAAAAGGCTTGGAAACCAGGGAAGCAAAGGGGTTTCCTAGGGCTATGCACTTCCACACGCAACTCTGCGCGGAAACGACGGACAAATGGAAAGCCATGGTCCAACCTTTTGGACTTTGCGGTCTAGTGAATCGGCCGGCTCTCATTTCAAAAGCTCGACGGGCCCGAAAACAGCACCAAGTGGTCGACGTTTGAGTATGCGCGCGCATCGAAAAGGTGACGCGTCTTTCACAAATGCAGTCGCGCATCGGTGTGTCCAGACCTTCCGAAACGAGTTACATGACGCACCATTGAGAAACATTCCGCAGCATTCTCGCGGCGACAAGCCAAATGTGCAAGTTCTCGGGCGAGCCAGTGAGCGGTTTTGAAGGTGACTGCGATGCTTTGCGCGAGCAACCGACTAATCAATTGGGAGAGGTGTTTTCTTTATTTCTTCGACAGGGTGGATGGGCAAAGGGTCGCCAGCCTGAGCAGCGGCGGGGATTCCGGTCGAAATCTAATCTCGCAGTACATAGAAATCGAGATTCTCTGCCTTCCACTTGCGTAAGCCCCTGGAACAAATGAGAAAAATGTCCAGTAGTGATCAATTCCTTTTAAAACCAACAGGGGAAAATAAGAAATATTCTTAAGCAAATGGAATAATTTCACACTACATAGTGTCAAGTTCTCCTTTTTGAGTGTCTCTCTGCAACCATCTTCCGAGCAAGCGTTCTCTGGGAGCTCTTTGAGCATTTTTTGTCTGACTTCTTTGCACAAGGGTCTCTAGGCAAGCCCTCTGAGCAAGTTCTCTCCACATAAGTTCTCTGCGCAAGCTTCTCTAAGCAACTTCTCTGCGCAAGCTTTCCGAGAAGTTATCTCTGCACATTCTCTGCGAAGCTTCTCCGAGCAAGCTCTCTGCGCAACTTCTCTATGCAAGGCCAGTGCAAGAGATCCACCGGAAGACACCTTTGCCATATGTTTTGGGAATGCTATTGCGAAACATGTTGCTAGCACATTCAGCTGAAAATACATGGGTATGTGGCAACATATGGAGATCCCCGAAAACGCTGCTTGTCCTTTTGGCTCCCGTGTACCGAGCATCAAAGAACACACACCGACATAATTTCTGACCGGCCAGGTGGCATTTCGAATTGTGCGCTGACGTGATCTTCCAGGGTATGATGTGGTTAATGCTCAGGCACGTACCATGACTGGCCTCGGCTCAATGCGCAATGTGAGCCAAGGTCAGATGCCAAGCGCCCAAATATTGGCAAAACAATGGCAAAACAAATCAGACTACGGGAGTCAGCTCAAAAAACCAGAATTCCAAAATGGAACCCTGGTAAGTGGACACATGGACCAAAACCTGCGGCTTGCCCCTCCTGTTTAATTTTGAGCCACACCCATATGGTGCAACCAATCTGACCACTGCAAAGAAGCAAGGCCGCCCCGGCAGAAAGGTTGGCCAACTCCGCTAGCGCGTTACAGATCTCAGTGATCCCCACCCGCGGGTTAAGGAGCGCTCAGTTGATCTTGCCAGCTTGGATTCACAGCCCAGCATCAAGGCAACGGTGGATTTACCCCTTGAGAACAGGATGGCCTGCTGCAGTCTTTAAAACAGAAGGAGTCCGACACTTTCAAATGGACATTTGGCATAAACAGGTGGTTTGAACACTCAATCCTACCACTCAATTTGGCGATGATCTCGTTCGACCATGCCTGCCGTGCAAGATTGAGTCTCGCGTCTTTCCAAGGCTAGTCCCAAGTCTGTAGCTGCCTTCCAAGCCTGAAAGTCTTTGCAGGTTGCAGCAAGCAGCAATTGGACAGGGCCATAGTTCTTGCTTCTGGCATGCCCAAACATGCCTAGGATTGCGTCAGCTTTGGCAG